TATAACGAGTGCGTTTGGGAGGAGGGGGTGTGGTGGTGTTAGGATCGAGTGTGGGGGAGGGGGAGGTGGCGTTAAGGCCGATGGAGAGAAACATTATTAAACAGAGCCAAACAAGTACAAAATCCTGTGTAAAAAATCGCCTTACATTCTGACCTGGGAGAAACCTTGCAGTCGCAAGGTAATGATTCGTCCTCGTCCCTTCATTTTTATCATACGCTTGAATTCTCGGTTCTCGGGAGAATGCACGCGTTGCACGGCGGGATTCCAGTTTTGACAACAACAGACAGCTGCGCTTGTCTCCGTAGATGCAGGCTTTCCTACTCTTTCAACCAAATCTGACCTCCTTCCCTTCCATTCGATGAAATGAGAATACTACGAGGGCCGTAGCCATCCTTAGTCAGCGTTAAGAACCTATTTCCGGTAAGTGATCGAGCAGTTACGTAACTGATCGCGCTACCGCACTGCTCGGTCTGAATTTCTCTTGGCGACTACTTTGCCTTTTTCCACGCTGCTTCGCTGGTTATTGGCATAATGTCAGTCAGCGACCTTCAATGCAGACGACGTTTGATTGCATGCGCGTTCTCTTTCGCCCGCGAGGCAAGGCTCGATCGCATTCCGACTCGGAGATCTGTCAACAGAGCAGCTTTCCCGCCGGATTGTGGTTCATCCGCCCCCGCCCGTGTTCCCGCTCGAAGTCCAGCCGCCCTCTGTACCTGGCCAGCCTATGCTAGACAAATTCAGTCAAAGGATATTCCTACAGAAGTGGATATCGCTCGGTACACGCTCGCAGATGTCGTCTATGCATGCGGTTTCCACTTCACTAGCCGTTTCTTTGCAACAGCGTCCGGTACCACGACGGCAGAGAAATTGACCGATCGTGCGAGCTGGAAACTCTCTCGTCATCAGGTTTAGATCTTGAGGCTCGTACTCGTGAGCGGGAAGCGAGCATCTTCTCGAAGCGTGAGCACCACAGGACCGCGTTCGATTAGATATTGCGTGAGCCGATCGACCAACTCATTACGTCCGTATCCGTCATCTGATCCGCCCATTTGCCCCACCTCAATAGGAGCTTCCCGTCCTAAGGCTGATTCCACCCGCATCACACACACATGGCCCTGGGCTGGACAAGTGTGCCGATCTCTCTGTGTAGCATTTATACCGCACTTGTAAGCTCCAAGGTCATGTCCTCCCTTATTATCGCCATCTCCCGCTCCGCTCATGGGTATCTGTCGTGCCGGTAAACTCCCTCCGTGCCACTCACAATTGTAATCAGTCTCTGCGGGCGTCCTAGTTCGAGACTTGTGGCCTCAGGGGATCGGGCGCCTGACGCAAGACACGAACACATTCGACACTCTGCCGCCGTCTCGTAGAATGCCCGGAAATTATGATGACGTCTGTGATTGGGTTTCTCTGATGCCCTGCGACAATCAAGTCCATGACGGGTTTCGGGTGGTTCAGTCTCACGCGATCTACCTCAGGCGCATCGGACGAGGTTGAAATAATTTCCATTCGTATGCAAGGATTCATCAAAACTGTCCGCGTCATGCCACTGGGTAACTGGAATGGGTATGTACCAGCTGTACCGGAGCCAAACTCGACGTTTCATCATCCTTGACAGTCGCGTTCACGATGCTGTGCGCGCTATCCAATACGTCACTTTACATTCTGGTGGTTTCGAATCCCCGTTCCAGGCACAGGTCAATGCCCTGTCGGCCGTGGATGAGTTCATTTGCGCATCGTTAGGTGCGGAAGTCCCCGTTCATCGACCTCGCTCTCCGAACGAGATATTTCTCAATAGGAGGGTGTTCAAACGGGCTGGTATCGTTTACAACCTTCACACTCCATACCTGCTCACGCTCCTTCACCAGGTGACCGCAAACTGTGAGCTTAGGTCTGTTCTATCTCCTGCAGATGCTCCGGACAGCAAAGCTCGCAAAATCGCAAACTCATGGGTCGTTGCTGACAAGCTCATGCTTGGGCGTCAAGTTCCTGCCACTGAGAAGATAGTACGGTGTCTCCCGTCGGTTTTCCATGACGGAGACTTCGTCGATGTGTCTTTTTCGGTACACGTGTCTTTGCCCAGGCAGCACAAGCATTGCAACACACGTACCGTCGATATTCATCACAACCTCGATCATATGGTTCTCCTGTACTCAAGCGCAGAGCTAAAGGTATTTTTCGGTGCAATTTTATAACCATAGCGTCGTATCTGAAGCGACCTGCTTGTAAGAACATCGATTTATACCCAACGAGAAATTCATCATCAGAGGAAATGTTACCGAAGAACCAAGAGAGCGGATATTCTTTGGACGAATGTCACGCCGTCCCCGCAAAGGAGGACATATACGTCACTTGACGATTGGCTGACGCGCCTTGCGGACCAAATTGTACGACTGTCGCGGGAGGCACCCGTCACTTTTCGCGGCACCAGGCAGGAAATGGATGAGTGTTTCAAGGGGATCGTGTAGTTTATTTATGTACCTCTTATGAATCACATTGGTCCTGACTCTGTTATTTGGACTCTACCCAAGCCAGGGGCTCCACCTGCCGTGGCGCAACTGTCACGTGATCGAGATGCAGCCAACCAGTGATCCGGCCGTGTCATCGGGACGCCCCGTCGTCGACTTGAGCTTGTTCTTTGTGCTCCTGGTAGCGCAAGATGTGAAAATATCGAGTGCAGCAATCGAGGACTGCTAGCCATGCGATTGTACAAGTCATAAATCAAGTCGCCACACTAATAAGCTGCTTAAACCTCTCTCTGCAGTTAACACAGCCGTGGGGTAATGTTATTGGTCAGCTATATCACTTACATATTCCTCCCGATCCCCGGTAAGGTACGCTCATCCAGATCAATATTCCTCTGCTCGCCTCTCATGTTCACTCTCCCGGATATCGCAGGGCGATATCCAGTCGGGGCGACTACATTCGCCATTCCGCTGAATGACCCTCAGGTGATCGGTTCAGGAAAACTGCGAAGACCGAGCGGAAACGTCACACGCGAACCTGCATTGCTTCTTGAAGAGGTCGTCTTCACCGCATTCTACCCGGCAGACATCAGTAATCCAAGTGTAGATGGCACACCTCCAGAGAAGCTCAGGAAGTCCATGGAGTGGGTCCCGAAGTAAGTAGACAACTGCCGGAGTCGCTTCGTGAATCTGAGACGTCGTACGATAGACCGGTCAGGGAGACGATGCATGGATATGCACACTTTGCGAAATCTCCTTTCTGGATGTCTGAAGTATTTATGAGCTTCGTGGCCTCTCGTCTTAAGGTCGGCTTCACTCACCGTCATTACATGCTTTCGTTGACGAGACTCTTAGCTGCCCGTATATCCTAACGTGCCGCTCCTTGACCGTGCTTCTTGTTCTGAAGATCCGCACGCGCAATGGCCGCTTGTGTTCTTTTCCCATGGACTTAGTGGTACTCGAACAACATACAGGTACGTCCGTATGACGTCTCGTATGTTATGCTATCACGGACACGTTATGAAGTCACCTCTGCATCCGTCTCGCTTCTCAAGGCAAGGTCGTCCTCGCTATGGAGCATCGAGATGGTACTGCCCCCGTGGTTATGTCACACTTTGCATCAACAGCGAATAAAGGTTACAAGCCTAAGGTTAAATTCTACCTGCATCCTGAGGACGTAAAGTATGCCCTAAAGCCAGAAGAACACCAACAGGTGATTGACTAAGACCGCACGGGCTTCTACTCTAGGTATGAACTCAAGGAAGAAGCTGCAAAGATAGCTTTTCGAGAGGATCAGCTGCTCTTTCGACGGATGGAAATCTATCTCGCATATAGAGGCTTCGCTGACTTCACGAATGCGCGTCCACCTCCACAAGCTGGTAGGCGCAGTCTTGCGATGACCTTCTGTATATGACAACGCATTTCCCATTATCCCGCAATATAGAAATGCCGCTACTGGGTGACGTCCACATTGTTCACGGGTGCAGCGCGCATGAGATTCTCAAGCATGGCCCATTCTGGAGTAGCTGGACGACAGGCCGAATGCAGTTTAGCGAAGATGTGGACGTAGTGGGGCATTCATTTGGTGGAGCTACCGTGGTGAGTCTTATGTCTATGCACTTCAGTCTTCGCTGTTGTTTATAAGCTCCTTAGTTATCTATCCTGTCGAATCCACCACCCTCTCTCGCATTTCGGGACTCTTTCATTCACCCGGAAGCACTCCCGATAACACACGCGCTTGTGCTTGACCCGTGGCTTGAGCCACTGCCCACTCCGGGTCCTGCACCGAACATAGAGGCCACGCGCGACGCATGCACGCCACACATCCTCGTGCTCAATTCTGAGCAGTTCACTCTATGGACAGACCACTTTGCACGACTTCAAGGCGTCGTGAGCTCCTGGCACAGCGAGCACGGCCGGGAGGGCGGACGCGAGCCAAACACTACCCCAGATACTGCATCTTCTTCTCATAAAGGCGAATCAGAGCCCGTCATCGTTCAAGCGAAGCTCCTGACGCTGATACGCGCAAAGCACGTCTCGTTCTCGGACTTCAGCGTCATACCACCGCTGGGAAACGTGTCGCATACGGGGAGGCAGGTGCTGAGGATAATTGGGGACCTGGCTGTGGCATTTTTGAGTGATGAGGATGGGAGAGAGCTAGGGAACGTTCTGATGGGGCTGCACATAAGGGACATGGAGGTAGAGCACAAAGGCGAGGTCAAGGGTGCGCCGCCGGGGCGACGGAAGAGAAGGATTGTAGGCGAGGTTGGGGAGGTCATAATTCATTGATGGTTCACTCGTGTACTTGAGTACCGGTTGACTTATAGCCAGCAGTATGGTGTGGGGGCTTCTGCAGGGCATTATGAGGAATTGCGTTCCGGCGCTGGCTGATACTGGATATGTCGTTGACCTGGTTCAATGGCGTGGACTGGCTGGAACGCACTTTTGATCTCCGAAAGAGACTGAGCCTTGAGCGCTGAGCGCTTGAGCTTGGAGCTTGAAATTTTGAAACACATCGTTCACGAAGTTCTACGCTAACAGCCCGAGCTCCCCGTTTTGGTCAAATCAGGCCGACGTTGCTAGCGGTGATATCAGAGCGACTGTCAAATATTGGCGCCATTCAATATTAAATATTGTGACGCGGGGTAGACGATAGTGAGTCTGACCGCCGATGAGGACCTTGACAAAGGTTCTTAGACTTGCTTTGGATTCTAGTTGAGGTTGCGTTTAACATGTGTCGTAGTCCTGTATCAGGGTTCCATAGTTGCAGATGACGCGGTTCATCGCGTTGATGGGAGAGTCCGGTGTACCGACTGCGTTGAAGCTGCGGGTATATCGAGGATTCGGTCTTCCATACCTGATGTGTTCCATTTGCAACTCCTGCGGCCTACATTTGAAATGGAGTCCCCGTAGGTGCATCTATCTCTTGGTTTCCCATGGCGTTCTACTGCTTGGGGACCGAAATTCGCATCCTTGGAGTCTGATCACTACCCTTTGCCTTCTCATTCTCCGCTATCACGCCAAAGTACCGCTAGGCTGCTAACAAATCATGTACCCATGACAAAGACGGGGTGACATGTCCAGACGCCTTATTCCGTATATTGGCACAAGTCTCCCATCGCCTAGAAGCTTGTAGAGGGTTTGTGCTATGCAGCTTAGGGCGACCGTATGACTGAGCTCGGAACGACCGGAATCAAACGAGACATGGAAACTTCTTCCGCAGCCGGTATCCAATTGGAGCACAAATGTCCCACTGTGTCGAATCAGATACAAGCACGCATCACCGAAGAACACACACATGATCTGAACCAAGAGAGACTGCAAGGAAATATAAAAGACATGCAGCGAATTACACGCAGTTGGCGTTTCTCGAGGTGGTTTGCCATTCGCCAGACATGTTTTCCATCGATGTTGTCCTGCTGGGCTTCATCGCTTCGACCACAGTTGCGCTCTACGTCTTTAACAGTCGGAAGACTGCACGGCACAAGCTACCACCCGGCCCGTCAGGCATACCTTTCTTTGGCAATATATTTCAAGTGAATGTTCTGAAGCCATATCCTCAGGTCTGTCCCGTTGCATCGATCACCTGTGTGCTCATACTAAAACTTAATCCTTGTCAGTTTCGTCAATGGGCCTTGGAGCATGGAGATATATTTTATCTCCGCTTAGGGCCGCAGAATGTCATCGTGCTCAATACGCCTGAGGCAGCGAATGAACTTCTCGTCAAGCGTAGCAGCAACTATTCCAGCCGGGCATCTCCTCATGTCGCTCAGGATTTAGTGAGTGATGGACAGCGCATGGTGTTCCTACCCTTCGCGAAGGAGTGGAAGGTGAGATTAACGCTTTGTATACTGGAGGGATGCAATTGACCTGCTATATGTGACGCCATAGACAGTTCGCAAGAGTCTGCAGTCAGCAATAGGATTCACTCCTTCGAAGGCATACCGTCGCATTCAAGAACTAGAGTCACGGGCGTTCATGTACGACCTGCTCAATCATGGTGACCAGAGCATCGTAGAGAAACATCACCAAGGTCCTAATGGCGAGGTGCCAGAGCGCCATTGGTTTGGTGTGATCAGGCGTTTTGTGAGTTGAAGTCGCTTAGTCTTTTAATATTTCGGGACTCATTGATCGGTTTAACAGACTACTAGTGTAGTAATCAACGTGGCATATGGTCAACGTGCTCATCACCTCTATAATAATCCGTATTTGTGGGTAGCATACTACATCATTAGTCATCCTACGCTAAACATATACATCGAAACAGGCACAAGATATATGATGTCATGGTCAACTTTACCCAAGTCGCGCAACCCGGGAACTACTTGTGAGCGGTTGTATGCAAGTTCTTACGTTCCCTTATGTTGAAGCCTATGCCATCGGATTCACAGTGCGGACGCGTTCCCCATCCTACGCAAACTTCCTGACTTCCTAGCTCCCTGGAGGATAGAGGGTCGCAAGATGCACCAATGGTCGGTAGTTCTTGTCGTTCATTTTCCAAACGCACGCTCAATGACAAGCTGTTGAAAAGGGAAATGGATCTGTGGGGCAAGTATTTTGATGAAGGCAAGGCCGCCACGGAGCAAGGCATCAACCGTCACGGTTTCATCAATCAGTATCTTCGCGCACGCATGGATGCTGGTGTCGAGAACGCACCCGGGAACGGACTAACTGACAAGGGTTGGATGCGCGACAAAATGATCGCATATACAGGGGCTACTATCCTCGAGGCGGGATCAGATACGACGGCGAGCACAATGCAATCATTCGTGCTGTTAATGCTCACCTATCCCCATGTCCTGGAACGCGCACGGGAGGAGATAGATAGCCTAGTGGGCATGGAACGCATGCCAGATTTTGATGATATGGATCGATTGCCGTACTTCGTTGCTTGTTTGAAGGAAACCTTCAGACGCCGTCCAGCCATCATCATGGGTAAGCACGGCCATGTTGCTGTCGAGCATTATTCTGACTTTTTTGATATAACAACAGGAGTACCACACAAGGCTGAGGAAGATGATGTCTACGATGGGTACCTCATCCCAAAGGGCTCTACTGTGTTCGGGAATGTATGGGCGATTCATATGGATCCAGATCGCTTCCCCAACCCGACCGCCTTCACCCCCGAGCGGTACTATGAGAAAGATAAATCACCTCGTTGGGCAAGTGGGCCTGATTCTAATGGCCGCGACCAGTGAGTATGCCGTCCTCCGTCCGACCCTGCCCAAGCTTAATTTGTTTTATAGTTTCGTCTTCGGCTGGGGACGGCGCTTCTGCCAGGGCAGCTACATTGCAGAAGCATCTCTGTTCATTGCACTGTCTCGCTTGGTCTGGGGCATGGACTTCTACGCCCCGACGGATCCTACGACAGGCAAGCCCAAAATCCCTGACATCGATGACGAAGCCGGCACGTGGACCGAGGGTTTCGTGACCGGGCCCAAAATGTATGATGTAGGATTCAAACCGCGGACCGATAAGCATGCGCAGGTCATGCGAAAATACTTCGAGGATGCGCAGCTGGAGTGGCAGATGATGGGCATGCCTGGAGACGAGCGTTGAACGTTGAATTTCCGCTGATAAGCGGTCGCTCCGTTGAGCTCATTGTTTATGCGGGTAGTCATCGCATGTATATGTTCCTGTGTAGGAGATCATTGAGAGGTTTCAGACCTAGGCCAGTGTTAGCAATATCTCTGGATACTACTAGCCTGAGTCACGTCGCATAGCAAGCAGTGGCGCATAGTATATCTGCAGACTTAGGCGCCCTGTTCACCTGATCGCGGATGTCGTCTTCAGTCCTAGTATCTAGTGTTCATCGCCGATGAAACATTTTCAAAGGCTCAGATTTGCGAGTGCCCAGTGACAGCGTTAACGTACACGTATAGTGGCGGTCGTGATCCGAGCAGCCTTCGATATAAAGCAAGATCTTCGCCGACGTGTCGGACTCGTGTGAAGTCCGTCACGGTCTTGATATTTACCAATGATGTTAACCATGGTTACCCGTTCACGGCGCGTCTGGCAAGGAGTGGTCCCCCGTGAAGTGACTCTGTTGTGCAACAGGTAAACAACTATGTTCTTTCATTCCTTTCCACGTCGGGTACTTTCGCTATGCTGCCAACTTCTGATCGGCAGCGACAGGTTGCGGTGTCAAGCTAGAAGTCTCAAGGCTGCCTCTCTATCGCACAGAAATATTTCAAGTGGAAATACAAGTAGAAGACACCTCGCGGACGTTGCTGTTTTCTGGGACTATGGTGAGTACATGTGCGCCAAACAGAGTCGATGAATAAGTTGCAAACTGCCAGTGTAACACGCCTCGGCGTACCAGAGGATTGCCCATTATCTTCAGGTGAAGGAGGAGTGTCCATTGTACGTGCGCTCGGGCAATATGCTAGAAGTATGGGCGTTGTCTCCAGTTTTCGCGCATACAGTCGACTCGTGCCTTTGAGCGCCAAGAGTGCGATGATGCGCAGAGGCGGCGTCACTATATGCGATTGCGCTTATGATAAGAAAGCAGTTGTTCATAGCTCCATGATCGGTACGTAGTATGAGTCTTATATCTCGAACGGTTAACTGAATACATCTTTGAGCACAGCTGACATGTTCCGGTGGACCTTCGACCGGCCGGCTGCTGATGCTACAAACATCATGGTAGTCATTACAGCAGGCAGCAGCTATGCTGATGCAATCTCCACATTGTCGCTCAGCGGTTACATCATGGTCGTGTTTGCTCCCCTTTCGGCGCACGAGAAGTTGAGAGAGGTACAAAGTGCTGCGTTATTAGAATGGACAGATGCTTTATTCGTGAAGGTATATGAGAACATTGCAACGCACTATGGGCATTGCACTGAGCTTCGCGTGTAGGCGCATGCTTCGGAACAGGATTCCTCCAGGCTGAATGGTCCCAACCATGAGCAGGAGAATCCTCTTGTGCTTGGAAAGAACATACACTTTGTACGTGTATTACTGACTTCTTTCCTATTTGATCCTCTGAAAGGAGTCTATCAGTTATCATCAACATTTTCATCAACGAGTCAGCTATCATATCAGCCTACGCAGTTTATCCACCCTCTTAATATGCTCCTAGCAGATGGACAGCATGCCTCGCTCTCTACAATCACGCCTGTCAATGTGGGCGCGGTATCGACATCGCACCCCCCAGGTCCGTGTGTACCGTCCCTTTCAGTAAAGACTTGATGCTGAAAGAGTTCAGCCAACATACATACGGAACACTCTCTGCAGTCAGAGCAATATCCACACTACTTCAATCCCCTCGTGCAGATCCTGCGACAACACACACAGGGAGATCAATTCATGTGGTTCCAACAGGTTGCGTCTGCACTTCACGTTGATTTGAAGAATAACGATGTATACAAGCAGGCCGGCGTCGACAGCTTCACAAACTACGTACACATGGCGCATCAAGCCAGGGTCATCATTGATGACGTGAATAAGTTGATGGGGAAACGCTACTTACGTTTGCATCCTCGTTTGCGATGATGTGACTTCCGTGCATAAGGTTCCTTGGAAACATGCCTGTAGACTCATTTCTCCAATGATCCAATACGCCCCGGAGATTGGGGTGTTTCGACGACTGCGGGATGAATGATCTAGGAGTACAGTCCGAGTCATGCGGTGTTGAGAAATAGCGTAGTATCACCACCCTTTTGAATATGCCTTATGCAGCCCGCATGTCCCATATTTTTGTAGTGCAGTTGCGAATGACTTGGCGCACACTCGAAAGGCTCGAGTGGACGTGATCGTCCGCATGTGATTGTGCACCTGAGCCACCGACCAATGTTGCCCATCCTCAGACTCCATCTCCGGCCTGCTGCAACATCTCCATACCGGACGGCGCTTCTGCCAGGGCAGCTACATTGCAGAAGCATCTCTGTTCATCGCACTGTCTCGTTTCGTTTGTAGCATGGACTTCTACGCCCCGACGGATCCTACGACAGGCAAGCCCAAAAACCCTGACGTGGACGGAGGGTTTCGTGACCGGGCCCAATATGTATAATGTAGGATTCAAAACGCGGACCGATAAGCATGCGCAGGTCATGCGCAAGTACTTCGAGGATGCGCAGCTGGAGTGGCAGATGACGGGCATGCCTGGAGACGAGCGTTGAACGTTGAATTACCGCTAATATGCGATCACTCCGTTGAGGCCATTGTATATGCGGGTAGTCATCGCATGTATATGTTCCGTGTAGGAGATCATCGAGAGGTTTCAGACCTAGACCAGTATTAGCAATATCCCTGGATACTACTAGCCTTCACGTCGTATAGCAAGCAGTGGCGCACAGTATATCTGCAGACTTAGGCGCCCTGTTCACCTGATCGCGGATGTCGTTTTCAGTCCTTGTATCTAGTGTTCATCGCCGATGAAACATTTACAAAGGCTCGGATTTGTATTGCCCACAGCGTTAACAGACACATATAGTGGCGGTCGTAATCCGAGCAGCCAGAGTCGGTATAAGGCAAGATCGTCACCGACGTGCCGTGTGGCGTCCGTCTTGCTTTTTACCACCGATGTTGAGCATCGTTACCCATTCGCGGCGCGTCTGGCAGGGAGTAATGCCCCACTGGCATGAAGCGAGTCTGTTGTGCAACAGGTGAGCAACAGCCTACATTCTTCATTCCTTTTCACGTCGGGCACTTTTGCTAGGCTGCCAACAAGTCGTGCTGATCGGCTGCGACAGGTCACGGTGCCAAGCTACTAAATTCGAGGCTGCCTCTTTGCCGCACAGAAATATTTCAAGTGCAAATACAAGTCGAACAAAACTCGCGGACGTTGCTGTGTTCTGGGACTATGGTGGGTATATGGGCGCCAAATAGAGTCGGTGAATCAATTCCGAACGGTAACGCGCCTCGTACCAGACGATTGCCCATTACCTTCAGGCAATGGAGGAGCGTCCATTGTACGCGCGCTCGGGCAATATGCTAGAAGTATGGGCGTAGTATCCAGCTTTCGTGCATACAGCCGACTTGTGCCTTTGAGCGCCAAGAGTGCGATGATGCGCAGAGGCGGCATCACTATATGCGATTGCGCTTGTGATAGCAGGAAACAAGTTGTTCATAGCTCCATGATCGGTACGTAATATGAGTCTCATATCTCGAAGGGATAATCAAACATGTCTTTGAGCACAGCTGACATGTTCCGGTGGACCTTCGACCGACCAGCTGCTGATGCTTCTAACGTCATGATAGTCATCACAGCAGGCAGCAGCTATGCTGATGCAGTCTCCACATTGTCGCTGAACGGCTACACTATGGTCGTGTTTGCTCCCCTTTCGGCGCACGAGAAGTTGAGAGCGGTACAAAGTGCTGCGTTATTAGAATGGACGGATGCTTTATTCGTGAAGGTATGCAAGGACATTGCAACGTGATCAGGGCATTGCGTTGAGCCTAACGTGCAGGCACATGCTTCTGAACAGAATTCCTCCAGGCTGAATGGTCCCAACCATGCACAGGAAAACCCTCTTGTGCTTGAAAAGAACATACAATTTGTAGGTACATTACTGACTTCTCTCCTGTTTGATCCTCTCAAAGAAGCTTATCAGTTACCATCAACGTCTTCATCAACGAGTCAGCTATCATATCAGCCTACGCAGTTTATCCACCCTCTTAATACGCTCCTAGCAGATGGACAGCATGCCTCGCTCTCTACAATCACGCCTGTCAATGTGGGCGCGGTATCGACATCGCACTCCCCAGGTCCGTGTGTACCGTCCCTTTCAGTAAAGACTTGATGCTGAAAGAGTTCAGCCAACATACATACGGAACACTCTCTGCAGTCAGAGCAATATCCACACTACTTCAATCCCCTCGTGCAGATCCTGCGACAACACACACAGGGAGATCAATTCACGTGGTTCCAACGGGTTGCGTCTGCACTTAAAGCGGATATTAACGATATATACAAGCAGGCTGGCGTCGACAGCTTCAAAAACTACATACACATGGCGCATCAAGCCAGGGTCGTTGACTATGATGACGTGAACAAGTTGATGGGGAAACGCTACTTACGTTTGCATCCTCGTTTGCGATGATGTGACTTCCGTGCATAAGGTTTCTTGGAAACATGCTTGTAGATTCATTTCTCCAATAATCCAGTACGTCCCGGAGATCGAGGTGATTTGACGGCTGCGGGATGAATGATCTAGAAGTACGGTCATGCGGTATTGAGAAATAGCATAGTATCACCACCCCATTGAATATGCCCTATGCAGTTCGCATGTCTTATATTTCTGAAGTACACTCAAAAGGCTCGAGTGGACGTGTGTAATCTCATCCGCATGTGATCGCAAGCCACCGACTTCACCAGACTTCACCTCCCCCAAATGTTGCCCATCTTCAGACTCCACTTCCGGGCTGCTGCAGTATCTCCATATCTTAGGTGTGGCTTGCCCACTTTCATAATGCTACCTGCTGAAGGTCGGCCTTCTTGGCATCGTCAACCACGTTCATGGCAGAGTTCACGGCTCACAACGATGGTGGAGGCAGCCCAATATCGCCGTAATATCTAGAAGACTAAGCACTGCTGTTGAAGAACCCGAGGCGCCACCGAAGAAGGTTGCAATATTCTGGGATTACGGTGAGCATTTCTTGGCTCGAAGTAGCGACGTTTGATTCAGGAGCGTGAACTATGTTCAGAGAATTGTGCGCTGCCATCAGGCAAGGACGGTCCTTCCATAGTGCATGCACTAAGCCGCTATGCAAAAAGCCACGGAAATGTGACGACGTTCCGCGCGTACCTCGATCGTATGGCAGCATCTACTGAACAGAGGGCAATGCTACGTCGATGCGGCGTCACGATCTGCGATTGTCCACACGATGGTGACAAAGATGTTGCCGACAAAGCAATGATAGGTAAAAATACAACCAGCTATATGCACCTACGTGTGCAGCGCCTTACCTATGATGTTTTCAGTGGATATGTTTCAGTGGGCCCTAGGCCAGCCGGCTCCCAGCACCATTATTCTCATCTCAGGGGACAAGGACTTCGCATATGCGGTATCTACCCTGTCGCTCCGTCAGTACACCATGATTGTCATTGCTCCTAAATTCGCGCACGACACGCTCAGGGTGGTGCAGACCGCTGCTCTTCTCCCCTGGGCGGATGCATTCTTGCCTGAGGTGACACTCTCATGTCATTTGCGCGTCTTTCTCGAGTTGAAGTTCTTCATTTACACAGCTAGCCCCCAAAATTGTTCCGAAAGCGTCGCAGATTCATGCAGCTGCTTCGAATCTTCCCAGTTCTGAAGAGGTCAGTTTGTCCCGGACATAGTCGAAATTTGCTTGTGCGCTGAACAGTTCAATCTATTTCACTGCCCAAGTTGTCAGAATGGCCTTCTACATTTAGAGTCGTTGCCGCATCCGAAGAAGAGCAAGTGACTAATACGCATGCGAAATCAGGCGAATCAGACTTGGGGTCAGCCCACCATACTCTTCTGTCAGTGGCTATCGTCCTGATGCATCTCTTCCCAGCGAAAGCGAACCTACAACGGTTAGACCCGAAGGTGCAGAAATGTCGATCTTTTCTCCTCGAAACATATTAAGCGTATCTTCATACAGGATTAGCAGATATTGCTGAAATGCTTGCCGAACCCGAACCCGAACCCGAACCTCCAGAATATGCGCGCGTTTTTCAGCCGATGGTAGAGACGCTGAGATCACGGCTGCAGCAAGGGAGCGAGTACATACTATACACGCAGCTGGCGTCACAACTTGCCTCAGAGGTTCCATGGATCTACAAAGAAATCGGCCACTCAAGCTTCAAGAAATACGTTCTATTAGCGCATGAAGCTGAAATCATACAGTACGAGGATGAGAACAAGCTTCTACCAAAGCGTATGGTCGGCCTGCATCCTCGACTACGTTGATCGCCCGGGCATGTCTCTTGTATAAGATTAATGGCAATAGCTGATGTATTAACTTTCAAGCCCAGTATGAGCAGGACAGAGACAAGCCCGCGTGAACATGCATATCCAGATTAGGGTACGGCTCATGGTTGGTGTTTTAAGCCATTCGACGCAGGGGAACTGGAGCATCAGGAATAGCACTCGACCAGTCATCATGACTGTATATGCGACTACATCTACGTTAGCGCACCATCTACCTATACTCGCCAATCAAGCGGCCTTGCCGGAATCCTCCTTCAGACTCACGATGCGGTTGAGCACTAAATAATCTCCTTCCCGCCGTGCAGGCTCCGTTCCCTCATCCTCTCCTAGACATGCCAGCCGTGCATCCTTGTCTGCGGCGAAGTAAGCCACACGCAACCCCTGGAACCTGATGCACTCTTTGCCCACGAGCTGCTCGCTGGTCGCCTTGGGTGTGTCATCATCCTCGGTCGTAGCCTGCGCCGTCGCTGCAGCATCCTTCAAAGCCTTCTCCGTGCGCACCTCGCTCTCCTTGATCGCCTCGTTATACGCTCGCTTTGCAAGCAGCCAGAAGCCGACCTCGACCATGGCGCCCTTAACCACCTCCAGACTGTCAGTGTTGATGTCGGCTGTGAAATCGGGTTCTACCGCAGACGGATTGTCGCTCTTGAATAGCTGATAGAAAATCCGAGTCTCGTCCACGCGCACCGGACTGCCCGATGGGGCATGCTCGGCCACCCACTGGATGAACGCCTTCGGCTTCTTCGTTGATCCCTCCTCCATCCGGCAAATGAGCTCTACGACCTGACCTGTGGCGGAATCTGTCTTGTACGAGGTGCATGTGATCGGATTCGGCGCCTGGAAAAGACCCACGGTTTTCCCTGGTGCGAGTCGGAAGTAGTCCTTGGAATCCTGCAGCCGGAAGTCATCCTCATCGATATAAATCGTGCGCGTGAATGGCACTTTTGATGTGCCCAGCTCGGGAACCTTGGGATGCAAGGGTTTCTCCAGCCAGAGGAGATAATCTTCTGGCAGATTCTCGATCGTGATTTTGAGCGGACGGAGCACCATGAGTAACCTCGGCACGGTGCCTTCTAGATACTGTCTGATTGAATGCTCAAAGCGCACAGCTTGGATGTTGGTCGTGGCAGTGGAAACACCGAGTGAGCTGACGAAAGAGAGGATTGCACCTGGCGGCACTCCTCGCCGACGGAGCGCAATGAGCGTGTAGAGGCGCGGATCATCCCAGTCGAGCACATGTTTCTCCTTTACGAGCCGGAGAATCTTGCGTTTCGACATGATGGTGCCAGTGAGGTTCAGGCGGCCGTATTCAGACTGACGAGGCTTGTAGACCTCGAGCGCATCACAGAGCCACTCATATGACTCGCGCGATGCGATGAATTCAGTCGTACATAATGAATGCCTGCAGACGCGATAGGTCAATTGATGTGAGAGGTATTCAAAAGATGTCAGTTAACATACGTGATATTCTCGAAGCTATCGCATAGACAATGCGTGAAGTCATACGTGGGGTAAATCTTCCACTTGTCATGCGTCCGATGATGTGATGCATTGAGCACCCGATACGCGACCAAATCCCACATCATCGTGTTGCCAGATTCAAGATCTTGTTTCATCCGCAGAATCGCCTGGCCAGGCTTATACGCTCCCTCTTTCATCTTCTGGAATGCTGCTAACGAATCCTCGATAGACCGATTACGATGAACACACGCTTTGCGAGGCCCACGTTCGTCTCCTCCACGGTTCGCGTAGATCTCCTCAGCTGCGAGAACAATATCAGCACAGATCATGAAGAGAGAAGGGCCACAACATACCGGTACAATGACAAATGTAGCCTTTATCCCTTTTGATGAGCTCAATGGCAAGCTCGTATAGTCGATCGAAGTAATCGCTTGAGTAAGTAATTTTCCACGGCTCGTAGCCCAACCACCGCACCGTCTCCAGGATGCTCTCAAAATACCGCCCTTCCTCCGCCTCCGGATTTGTATCATCAAAGCGCAGATAGCATCGGCCACCGTGGTATTGAGCATATCCAAAGTTAACGAAGATAGCCTTGGAATGACCGATGTGTAGATATCCGTTGGGTTCGGGAGGGAAACGGGTGTGAACAAGCCCGCCGGTAGCAGCAAGATGCTGTTCGCGAAGACGAGGATGGAGCTGAGGGTTCTCGCCAACTTTATGGAGACGTCCAAGGAAGCCTTCGGCGAATACCGTTTTTGAGGTGGAAGCGGATGCACTTAGCTCACTGGGTTTGATAGCTTTCGTGGCAGTCTCCTTCTTCACTTCCTAGACTAGCCCATAACTAGTCTGCCATCATGGACATGTGATGTACTTACCTTGCCTTTTGGCTTCGACGCTGCTTTGGGTCCAAACTTCTCGGTAAATGCGTGTTCTACAGCATTCTTCAACTCAAGTGCATTTGCCCATCGTAGGTCAGTGCTCTTGAGCCCACTAATCACAGCACCCAAATTGGCCCAGCCAGAGGCGGCACTGGGACTAATGTATTCCGTGACTCGGACGGCGAGGTGTTCAGGCGTGATGGTAAAACCTAAACGAAGCATCAGCATGAGCTAATGAGTACGGCACACAACACATCCACTTCGGATGAAGCTCTGGTACATGTATGACGAGGAAACAGCAGGTCTACATACCCACTCCGCATTCCCTATCGAAGTCGCTGCTATCGATGGGCAATGGATGTGATTCAAGGTATTTCGTGGCAGCTAGTCCCAGCCTCAGTCCATTGGCAACACTTGATCGACGTAGAACGGCTCGTACACACCCGAAACCTGATCAGTGCTCCTTAATCGTCCATCCAAGACGGCCTTAACAGCATATCCACGCTCGCCCTCGTCAAGCTTTGCACCCTGCACGGCAAGACTTGCTAACAGCACGGCTTGCTTATCTTCAAGCTCCTTCTCCACTAAGCCATGGGTCACAATGATCTCTTTGAGTGCCTTCGCGCTTCTAGGGCTCTTGGCCGCCTCTGCAGCCTTCGATTGGGTGAGACCAATAGACTTGAAAAGAGTAATGAGATCGACGGTGTCGGTGGTGTCTACCTCGGCAGGCATGGTGATCACCCCCGTTAGCGAGCTTCTCTCTGGAGGATGGTAGCGTAAACGTGAGCTATGCGCGCGAATGACAGTAATGCAAGTGGGTGTTTCGACTCGGTGCAGGTATTGGAATATTGACTCCCGAGTCAACGATCATGAAAGCGCTAAGCGCTGAGCGCTAGAGCGGTCCGGCCTGGTCCGGCGGACTCCGGATGGGTTGGTGAAGCAAGCTGGCCGCGCCCTCATAAGTTCAAGTTATCTCCCACCTATATGGTCAGCTTGCTATCAGCCTTTCTGAAGAACTGTGCGGATACAAGCTTACAAGACTGCTTATAGATATATGTAATCAGGGTACCATGTTGTGAAGCTATTTACTTAGTGTTCTGAAGGCAGCCGTCTGAAACCAAACTTGAGCCGGACTCGGAGCATGGCAAGGCTTAAGGTGGCAATCTGACAATGACTATCTTAAGGCAATGGCTTGGCTGTCTTGAAGACCACTCTGTGATAACAAGAGCCTGAGTGAAAGTCTATAACCTCAGTGGCTGATGATCTTCGCCACTCATGTTATGGTTCCGTGGCCGTGGCCTGACTGGACTCGGAGCGATCCGCGCGTGTGACGAGTGCACGTGCCTCGGACCATCACGTCGTCACAGTCAAACGCGTCGCGTAACGCGCCACGGTTGAACTTGTTCCTCTCGTACCCCCACTGTGACTTGACTTCATCCTCGCGAACGCGCTCGTAGCCCGTATTGCCTTGTTAATCGATACAAATGACGCGTTTAGGACCATTACAGGAGCTTCCACTGGAGAATTTCTTATTCCCTGACGACAACGTGCGTCTTCCGCTCCGTCGACCGCACAAGCGGCCTCTTTCCCCCGGTGGCCCATCGCCTCGCACACCTGCCAAACGACGCGTCGTCAACTTCGATACGACCCGTTCTCCAGTCAAGATGGACAGCCCACCCTCCGCATCCTATGGCGGCAGCAGGTTCGCTCCCATGTACTTCAGTGCGTTGCTGTCGGGCCCGGACAGTCCCGCGAGGAGATTGGACTTCAGCACGCCCAAAGCTAGCCGCCTCAGTACAGTGCTTACAGATGAGATGGACACCCCCAAGGCGAGCGCGTCTGTCGCATCTTCTACGCTCGCACCTTCCCCGACTCTCCTGGATCCGAACCAGTATAGGGCCAAACCGTCGCTTCAAATGACAGTCCAACGCGACAACACGGTTGACGGTTGTTCAAATGGATACGTAGCTGTTTTATCGTCGCCTACGCCTCAACCTCGTGCGATCCCTCGCCGGCTTATTCCTCCCGACCCTCAGTCTATACACTATCCAGGATTCGTTGTCTATCAAGACCCATACGAGGAGGCGCCGAGCTCTGCAGCAGATCGTGGGAACGAGAAGGGAGATGACTGCCCCACATCTGTGGCGGCAAAGCTAGAGAAGGAGGCTGACAAAGAGAACCACGGGCCTCGAAAGAAAGCGCACAAATCGACTGCAGTACCTGCCGTCCCTGGTGCTGCAGCGTGGGCGAAGGCTGGGTTGGTGCCTCCTGCAGTGCACCTGGAGGAACCAGGCGAGATGGCGAAATCGACCCTTCTCACTCCCCGTATGAAGGGCATCTCTCTACGCTCGGGTGGTGGAGATGAGCCGCTCGCACCTACGCGGAGGAGTCAAAGGCTCATTGAGCAGAATCACACCTCCTTGCTGAAAGCTAGTGCTAGCAGGGCGTCACTCAGCAAAGAAGAGAGGAAGGCGAGGAGAAAAGCTATGGAAAACGAAGCTGAGAACGGTGTGGATGGTTTTATCTTTTAACCCCATCGCTACGTGACATAGTCTGCCGCTACGGACTGCCCTAACATATCTACCGAATCTCTGCGCCATATATTCACGCTATCTAGCCGCTATCTAGTCTCATACTGCTGCGGTCTAGTCCCATACTGCTTCATCCTATCCGATCACATAGGATTGTGCATTGCCACTCGTTCGCTTCTGATTTCATCTATCCTGTTTGCTCTCACGTACCGTATTGCTTAAACATGTCATGACTATATCAACAAAGTACGTACGGAAGAAATGATATTTTACTTGCAAACATATGAGCATTCGCTATCCGCCTTGATGCCGCATGTATAATTTAAGTTGAATGGTCCGACGTGACGCTATATATATATATGGCTGACGCCCCGCCTTTGTAGACGTGTCGTAAACAATCACGTGTGCGCGTGGCGTACTGTAGGCGAGCATTAATTTGGCATTAATCGCTGTTGTCGCGCGACGCCATCTACCAGCATGCTGCCGAACGCCTCATTTCTATACGCTCTATTTCTTCTGATTCCTTCAGTATGCTCCCAGTTCAATTTCTTTGAACATATGTTCGGTCATCCAGGTCATCAGCAACAACAGCAGCGACAGACTGGAGCTTCGGGTGCTGGGCAATGGGTGGCACGCTCGGATAGTGGTGCGCATTGTGACAAGGCTACATTGATTCAAAGGTTGTTCTCACGGAGTGCATCACAACAGTGTCTTGCTCTCAGTATCTCTGTCCAGACACCCTCGTCTGCGTGCCGAATCCATCGGAATGCCCTTGTCCTGATGTACAAGATATTAAATGCTTGATACCCGATTCCGAGGACAAAGAAAGCTCAACCGTACTTTGTGTGCGCGGGCCGAATGAATGTGCGGAGGTTGAGCGATTGTCAAGGAAGCTTGCGTGAGACGGGGAGTGTAGTGTGGCTAAACAGAGCGAACTCTCGATGTGCGCGACTTTGCAGTCCTGTGTGCAATCGACTTATTGATTATTGATCAATTTTGCACAACGCTAGTGGTGGCGCATCGGAGCGGAAGAACTTCTGGTCAATGTCACTGCCATGAGCACCGGCAGGGTAGCATGGAGAGTCAGTGGTTACATTGGGTGTACTCATTCGTTGCCCATGGAGCCTTGCAGATTACTCTTCCATCATGTTATACCATACCATGGCGTGGTCACCGTGCAGAATGGGGAGAAACGTGCCTCGCGAATGGCGCTCAACCAAGTATTTCATGACGGCCTTGAACCTCAGCGTCTGAACAGGTACGTAACCTAGTCACCAGACCCCTGCCGATAATATCACGACGGTCATCTATGAACTTTATTTATGATGCTATCTGCTCCGCCGAATGTCGTGCTGAACCGTTTAGGCCTTCCATGCATGATTGTGGCAAGTCTGGATGGCAATACCCGCGTGATATCGTGAAATTTAAATAAAATCGCCGATTCATTTTCTCCTCCCGGCCATGTTCTGAGACGATGCTTGTCCATCCTTCGGTGATCCATCTAGGCTAAATGCAGCTATGTTTGCCCTCATGTCGAGCATTTCAACATACTTTGACGTTAACATTGTAGAAAACCGTGGCTCACAGTTCCGGTTAAGCATTTAGAGCTGTTCTCCAGCGTCCCGTCCGAAGTTGTTCATTGTCTCCTCAAGTAACGCACAATCTCAAGTTCTGCCGGTGCTGTCGCCGGATCGCCCGGGCACCAGGTTGTGGTGTCCGGTCATCATTTTACGTTTCATTTACCTGTCTAATTACGACGTTTAGCATGCTGCCCTGATGTGGCAGACGATATATGGTATAGTGCCTGCAGAGCGCCTGAGACAACGCTACCCAAACTGTTGGGCCCGGCGGACATTCGAGCCTTTTTGTTCTCATGCTCCGACACAACTTGATTGGATTAGGCCGCGCGACCCATTATCGGGCGACGGGGCACACTATAACGTATTTAACTCACCAGTGAGCTAAACATGATTTATGATACTTTTTGACGTGTTGGTCTTATCCGCTGCAATATGCTATGTGCTGCCAAAGGGAAAGACAAGGCGGCCAGGTTCGTTCCAGAGATAACTAGCCACTGATAAAGCCAGCTGTTCGCCGGGAGGGTGTTCCGAAGTCGACGTCTTCTTACATTCAACGGTAAATATACTCGGCCATCCGAGGGTCATTCGCAAAGGTCGATGAATGACAAGCTGCGTGATTATGGGCCGTCGTTACCGTCCGTGGCAATCGCGATTATGCTGGTTTTCACGAGATCGCACAGAAGGTCAAGATTGAGAGAGCGCCTAATTCAAGACGGATATCCAAGTAGTATCTATGTGTGATCGTCGTGCGGTGGGCTCCGAATTTACCAGTGGTTTCTCGAAGACGACCGCTCGGATGCAAGTCTGTACCTGAGTGATGACATCCAAACGGTCGTAGTTGATAACGCATGAGACTCTCGGGCAACGTGTACTTCACGCTGACTAGCAGTACGTCATTGTGATCCTACTAGTACATATTGAACGACTCGGATGAAATGTGCAAATCGTACTGGGAGATACCGGTGAACGCTTCAGACGCAGGCATGCCGGACTTCAGACATGAGATTGAGCGGACTTTGCCTTAAACGTTAACATCAGGCTAGCTTCCATATCAATACAGTTTACACAATTTCAAAGCATTGTTCAACAGACGATCAATGATACCTACTTCAACATGCTTCTAAAACGTTGTGGTTCTTGGAAGAAGTATGATCAATGATTCTTGGCAGCATTCAGACCCATGTTTGGCATGATCCGTCACATTCGGTGTCTATTTTTTCCTTGCATGGTCGGAAGGTGGTGGTGATGAACTCGAAGATTCTTTTCCTGCCGTGGGGTTACGTGACGAAGCGAATAAATTACTCGTGGGGGAGATGGAACATTCTGGGACAATCTGTGTTTGAGCACGTTCGATAAAATATGCGAAAGGCGGTTCCCCGTGCCTCGCTACTCGGGCCCTGCAGCAGGCTGAGCACAACGCCGCGCAGTTCCAAGCCGTGTTCACGCTGCATCTGCCACACCTGCCTTTTCCGGGTTGAAACTCCGCTGGTGGTTTATGTTACCCTGTTGGTCCACGCCACTTGATGACACTTGGGGGTGTCAGCGCCCGCACGCCCAAGTCCGAATGAGCCACGACTCAGAGACATTTTCGAGAAAGACAGGTTTTATGAGGAGGGATTGTAAATATATATATTACATGCGTGTACAGCGATGAGCGGGTAAGGAAGAAGTGTTCGAATGTTTTAGAAGTAGATAAAGTCAGATTTGCACGTTCCCGGCTACACCGAACCGCAATATGGAAAGCGACTATCGGCAGCGAAAGCGGGAGGGACGCTGGCGCGGGGACCGGCACTCTTTGGATGGAAGAGGGGCGCAATCAATAGCAACGTGCATGCGGGTGAGAAGTCGGCCTCGCGCACAGAAAACAAGTCGTAGGCGTGACAGACGGCCTAGCAACAGACAACGCAAACAACGCAAAGTTTACGAAGCGGCGACACGATGGCGGCGGGAGAGAGCGCACGACGATCAGGGGAAAGCAGAAGCGAAGACAAAACAGCTCAGCCACAGGCGTGGGAACGGTTGACGCTTATGTAAGAGCTGGCTGTGACGATACAACCCGAACGACTGGGTCATTCGAGGTCATTCGGAATCTCTCAAAACCACGGTCATATTAATGGCACTCGCTCGTCCAACTGTATGCACCTCCTCGCTGCTCTGCTGACACGACATGTGGCTAATCGCCATGTTCGCAGACCAAACTGCCTCCCGGAGCGAACCGTATTCTATTCGTGAAGAATCTGAACTATCAGATCACTGGGGATGACTTGTACGACCTCTTCGGCCGTTATGGCAGTATACGTCAGATTCGGATAGGCAGTGAACAGAAAACCCGTGGAACAGCGTTCGTCGTCTTTGACGACGTCATGGATGTGCGTATTGTCCAGTATTGCTAGACCTTGTTCTCATGATTGGTTGTTCTCCTTGATACAGGCGAAAAATGCATTGGATCACCTCAACGGATTCCATTTGCAAGAACGCTATATTGTGGTCCTTTACCATATGCCCGCGAAGCAAGATGCTGCCGCGGCAAAAGCGGACTTGGCTCGTCGCGAAGAGGAGTTGGCTCAGTTAAAGAAGAAACACGACATCAACGACGAAGATTGAATGTATGTTCTTGTCTTTCTGCGGGCTTCGTACATCGTGATGACGGCATTTAGATGTTTGGCCCTCGTCATTACGCTTCTTGCCCACTTGTATCACTGTAGGATTTATCGGAACTGTAACATGCTGACCCGTCAATTCATGCCGCTTCTATAACGCAATCGACTCTAGCCGTCACTAAGGCGTCTGTGGCCATGAGACCGAAAGAGCCGCCGTTAATGAATCGGGAATTTGGGCCGCAGTCATCTATTGAACGTGCTTAAATGTGAGATGATAATTTCATTTCAAGTTGATCGGAGCTGATGACTGAGATTTGGCTTAGCTGCTCTCCACGAGCCGATGACCATATACATTGTAGTAGTTTCAAGAAAGAGTGCAGATTCATTACATTGTCGATAACTACGAGCTTCTATCAGCGGCCGAGTAACTCTTCTCCTCACACGGTTCGATGACCTGCCGCAATGCAGTTCGGACAAACGCTGTCAATGTGGCGGGCTAGTAGCCTGGTCAATGTGCGTATCGCTCAAAATCTGTCCTAACTCACAAAATTGTTCAGGGTACTGGTGACTTATTGGATGTTCAGTGCCTTGCTGTTGTCATCGTGAAAGCAGACTTACAATTGCCAGCAAGTGATCTTACAATCAGGGCAGACTTGCGGATGGTTTGGACTAAACTTGCATCTCGAGTCTATGCATTTGATCTGAAAACAGACAGTCAGCGAACAAGTCCGGGAGCACGTAAAGGTGTTTGCTGACGTACCTCCTCATCGGGCTTATCGAGTGGTAGGATATGCATTTTTGAGATATTTTTGCTGATAAATTCATGGACATACCAAGGTGATGCCATGTCCGCATCTGTGTGTTGAATGTCTCAGGTAGGTGTTCGATAGCATATAGAGGCCACCAACCTGTAGAAGTTTCTGACCCTATATTCCACCGTTAGCCTCGACACAACAAATGAGCAAAATTGCTCACTGTCTGAAGAGGCACATGATGGCTGTTGGCTGCTAGAAGACCTCAGGCGTGATGTCGAATACGTTGGATGAAGTTCTGCTTTGTTTCACGGTCGTCCGTTCTCTTTTATACGCGAAAGAGTGGCGCTTTCGTCAGCGCGATCTACAGGCTACTCCATCGCATGGATCTGCATGGCCATTTCCGTAGCGCACCCGGCATGCAGGCGCGCGATCCCTCCTTCGCAATATGCAATTGCATCGAGGGATCGGCTCAGCCATCAAATTCAATGTTGTTCGCGCTAGACCTCCGCCGGGGTTGCTGGGGGACGCACCCCTGATGAAGATCACATTCTTCTAAGGCAGCTGCTCGGAACTTTGCCACAGGCGGCTTTCGTCGTCTTTTCTGATTGTGTCATGCAAGCAAAAGGCACGATCTATCGGATTCGCTCGATACGGAGTTCTTATCATTGCTGTGTGGCGAATGACAATGACATTTGCGTGATACGACCATACGAGTCCCTTGACTTCCGCTGCGAGACCTGGCGATTCCCGCCCAATTCCGTGCGGATAGGACAGGTATTCTGTTGTGGCGTCGATGGCCAGTCTTGGTTACATTGCTGCGATTGCTAACCTCCAACATGCGTGCGTTGTGGGAAATTATTCACCAGCCGGACTCGACAAGGCTTATTAAATCTGAGCCAGTCCTATCACTCACAGTGCCTGTTGTTCATGCAAAAGCAACGGCACTCTAGTGGAGGCAGACTGCGAGTTCTATGCTAATAGCCGATCGCTTAGAATGGCCCTCCAGATTCCCGAAAATATTAATCCAGCAGATGCATAGCGATCAATCACATGTCGTACACTACTTTCAATGCCCGCTACTCACACAATTGCAGCCGCGACCTCTGCACGGGCCTGAATGGTCACGTCCGCAGGCATTACGATATCGAACACGCCAGTGCCTGTCAGATTCAGCCTTCCCATCACGATATTGCTGGACGGCGTGGTCAGGTCATCGAAGTCGCCGTGAAGCGTGGCATCGGACAGGAACTCCGCCGTAGTTTCGAATGACGCCTTGAGCAGAGGTGAGGGATTTGTCGATATGCCTCTCCGATTGAAAGGCTTGTATCCACCCTCAAAGGTCTGCAACATCGCATGAGAACAACAGCTGCTTCGCATGTGGCAGGCGCTTACCATATAATCAGCGATTAACTCGAGATGACGGCTGTCAACATCAATCTTGTAGACGGCAAACACGCCCCCGATTTCCCGCAGTATCGTTGCCCGTGCAGCTTCTACGCCATATGCGCAGAGAATCGCATATATATCATTAGAATAAATGCCGTTTTCGTCAATCATGTTGTCAACATCGCTGCATGCGAACTGCCATAGGCCGGGGATATTTGATCCGTTTGTGGTTAGCTGCGGGGGAGGAGTGAGAATCGGTGGAGCAAGATGCAGTCAGAGATATGACAGACAGTATAGACAGGTCGACCGTTTTGATCGTCTTCTTTGCTCTTGAAACAATCGGTGATACCCGGGATCTGACGTATGACGGTCTTCACGCACGCCCTTTCTACTATACCTACTACCAGAAGTTTCGGCATGGCAGAGTCGAACTTGAACGGAAGTCAGTGTCATGGTCAAAGAAGAAGGAAGATGACACTGACCTCAAGGCCGATCTTACAGCCGGAATCGCTGAAGGTGAACGAAGTTGCTTGGGGCAAATTCTCCATAAACAGCTCCTCGATCTTCGCGACTTCGGCCACAAGGCCGTTGCGCGACTGCGACTCCTCACCCCGAATGTCATCCATCCCATCCTCTGAAGCAGGTGATGCATAAGCGGCTTCGATATCTGCATCATCGTATTCGCCCAATACGCTTGCGACATCGTAATCCTCTTCGTCATCATCGTAGGTCGCCTGTTCGCTCATTTGGCGCTGACGCTTCACCGCCGCAGCATCACCATCTCCGACCTCACTCACTTCATCGTCATCTTTCCCTGCTTGTTCGTCATCATCGTTTCCACCTTCCTTGCCGGTATCGGCCACTGCGGCACGTTCGCGTACTACCTTGCCCTTGCCTAGCTCTTTCATCTGACTCTTCACGTCAGCATCGAGCTTCTTCAGCTCCAGCTGCAGCTCTTTCCTGAGAAGCAAGGGGAAGTTGGCACCGAAGACAGTGAGGATTTCCTTAGGCTTCACATCGTACTCTGATCGGTATTCTGCTTCAGGATAGAACACAAGCTCGATCGTAAACTTCTTGCTCCTCCCTCTGCCATTGACGATAAGTTGTTCTGTGACAATGACCTTGTCAACGACATGCGACAGCGCCAACCGAGTAGCCTTCTTGCAGAAGGCATCGATGTCCGACTCTGGCACACTTTCACGGACTTTCATGGTCATCGAAGGCGTCTTGGGCTTAGTAGATGCCGTCATAACAATTTCACGCAACCGCGGAATACCGAGAGTAACATTTGCAGCACCGTGACCTGCATGCATGTGAGTACGCAGCTAAGGGAGTCGCACGGAGTGCACACCTGCGAAGTGGAACGTGTTCAACGTCATTTGAGTTGACGGCTCGCCAATACTATAGGGCTCATTAGTGCTGAACGGTGCAGACAAAGGCGAGCGCTGCTACTGACCCCTGAGAGGCAAGCAGTCCCACAGCTTCTCCAGGTTCCACCAGACTGCGCATGTACTTGATGTCCATGAGCAACTTGAACTGCTTTGACGAGAAAAGCGGCGTGCGCCGCTGAATGGGCAGCTCGTCTTCCTGCCCTTTCCTCCGCAGCAGCCTATCAGGATTCTTCTTGATGTACTCATCGAGCTTCTCGGCAAACTTCTCGGAAGTACTGCCAAGGTTTCTGTTGGGGTTATATACGGAGAGAGCGGGCTTGTATTTGTCCCGTTTGGAAGGCCTATTTTTATACTTCAGGACCTTCTTCATGTAGTCGCTAGCTCCTTCTACCACGATGCCATGCAGCTCCTTCGGCCTGTAACGATTGACCAACGAGACCATATTTCGGGCCATAAAGTCGAACTGCAGTAGATGTTTCTGTTTCGTTACATCCAGTGCGTCGCCTCCATAGTTGAACTGTAAGACCGAAGAATCGCTTTCCCTGACCGTATTGTCGTAGTGAACGCGCACCCCCTCCAAATGCTTGATAAGACACCTTTGGAGGTAACCAGAACGCGACGTTTTGACGGCAGTGTCAATGAGACCCTCTCGACCAGCCATGCAATGGAAGAAGAACTCCTGGGGCTTCACACCGGTCAAGAACCGACTTGCAACGTATCCACCCGCAATCGCTTTCGTCTCGAATGGCTTGAAAGATGGCAGCGTCTTACCGCTCGTCATGACCGGCACACGGCGACCCTCCAGCTCTTGCTGGCCTAGAGCGCACGATATCTGTTGTGCATTCACGGCACTGCCCTTAGCACCAGAAAGTGTCATGGCCTGCATGTGATTATGGGGGAATTTTCGCAGAAGCCCATCAGGCATACACGCGTCGGCAATGGATTTCGTGAGCTTAGCCATCTTGCCCTTCACCGTCATATCCAATCCGGCCATCTTGCTGTCATCCCGCAGCACGTCTTCGAGTAACGACCGTAGCACCCGGGGCTTATCTTCAGGAGGAACTGTGCTCAGCGCTGGGAAGTTATCGATGGCACCCTCCGTTCCCAACTGCGCCCCATCGCGGATCAGTTCGGCGCGTTTCCTATTACCCTCGGGAGTCAACGCCAAGTCGTCCATCCGACATGTGAACGCGCGGTGCTGCAGGAATTTCGTGAACAGTCGACTGAGGATACCGAGTAGTCTGCCAGCCACATCTGCGCCGTATAGCTCGTAAACAGAATGAACCAGACCGAAGTCTGAAGCACCGAAGGCAGCTTTGTCCAGGACACCACAAAGAAGCTCGCCGTCCATGAAGACGACATCGCCCTCCTGCGAATCTTTGCCCCATAGATAGCCCGGAACCTTCGCCTGAGAGTGAAGGTTCAAACCCTCGAAGTTGCTGGGGGTAATATTCTTGAGGACGGTCGATATCTACAAGCAGTATATACTTAGGCAACCAACAATGGACACGGTAAGCATACAATCTCACGATCTGCTTGCCTGTCCATAAAGCTTTGGGCTTCCATATCGCGGGAGGAAGAGTCTCGATACGCCCACTGTGATATCCAGTCCCCTCCTCAGGACGAAGCGCACCATAGAGCAGCTGGAAGTATTCTTCGCGCGTGAAGAAGGAATCTTGTGCCGTCATCCAGACACCAGCAACGACATGATCCTGGATTAAACCTCGAAGAGGTTTTCCTGATGTCGGCACGAGATACTGGTTGTCAGTGTTGGCAATGAACATAGCTTCAGCTCGGGCGACTTGGTTTTCTGTGGGTTGTTCAAGGAGGATGCATGCGAGACAGAAGGAAAGAACTGACGTGGGAAGTGTACGTTCATCTCTAAAGTTCGGGTCAATGTCAGAATTCAACGCGAGATCCTTGAACCACTTACCATCCCCATCGAAGTCAGCTACAAGACGGCCAGCTCATCAGATGAAGCGTGCAACTCCGATGACGGACAGCTTACCATTATATGAATTACTAGAGATAATCCACGAGTCAGCAGAATGACAATACAACATGCTGCGTGGAACACTGACCAGTTGGCGTAATGCATCCGGATCGTCTTCTCGCCTTGCAGGACGCGAGCCTTATGACACATCATACTGGGCTTGTGCAGCGTCGGCTGACGGTTCACGATCAAGATATCACCATCAAGCAGATGGCGATACACCTTCTTGTTGACCGCCGGAGTACGAGTGTGCAGAGGTGCATGGCTGGTGGATCCGTGATTGCTTTCCTGAGGCGTCAGGAGCTGGTTCGCAATGGCTGTCCGTTGTTCCACGCTCAGCTTGTCCTGAACAATCTGTTGTCAGAGTCTGACAGACATGCAGGATGATCCGTAAGGACATACCAGATACTGAAGTTGTCCGTCTTCAAACTCAACCATGGTCGCGCCAGGATACCCGTGCGGGCCGGTGATTACATACTGCCGCATCTCATGGAAGTTGGCGGGGGTGACCGGTTCAGGGAAAGTGAGCTTGCGAGCGAAGACGGGCGGTATACCGATCTCATTGGGCTCGATGTTCACGTCGGGAGAGATGACTGAACGGGCAGCATAGTTGACACGTTTACCCTGGAAGATATATATACATTTAAATGGCGCTATGGGGACAAAGATGGGGGACATACCATCATGTGCTTGCGAAAAAGACCATCCTTCTTCTCCAGACCTTGCTTCACACCGGCTGGTGGTAATCTTCCTTGACGAGAATGCACTGGATTCTTGCTGCTGTCGATGAAGCTATTGACATCGACTTGTAACTGAACGAGTGCATCCAGGAAATTTTCCAAACCCTTTTTTCGGCCTGCTTCGTCCAAAACCTTTGTAGTCCCAGAGCGCAGACTCTCCGTAAGATCACGCAGGCGATAGGACGTCATCAGGATCTTCCCAAGAAGCTCATTCTGGGAATGTTCAAACAGTGTCTCGCCTATCTTAGCAGGAGGACGAAAACGAGTAGGGCTGACGGGAACGACTTCCAAGAAGAACATATCCGCCGACGCGAGAGACAACTTATCCTTCGTTAGTGGTGCGAAGGAACCGTGACGGCCATACAGAAGAGAGCACATAACAGCCTCATTGGAGAACAATCGCCGCAGGTGAGCACGACACTCCTCCGGAGGCATGACACGTTCGTTGCGTCCTCGAGCCGTCTTAATCTTGCCACTCGCGGACTTTGGGAGCCGAGGTGCGCTGCTGCCTTTTTGTCCCTCTTCCTCCTCATCCGATAAGACATCGTCCCCTAGGGATTCCTCATCTGACCCCATGTCGAATTCCTCGGCGTCATCCATATGTTCATCAACATGTCTTCGGGTTGAATCCTTGTCCCTGTGCTGCTCCATGAGGACAGCTGGTCGCCTTAAGCCTATGTATTTATGCTGTAGCTTCTGCTTCGAAGACAGGTCATACTCGATGACTTTTGTATAGCCTTCTTTGCGAAATGAATGCGCATGCCTGACGTTTTCTCATTGAATCATCGATCAGCCTTTACAAGTTATGATTGTGAACTCACGCTGCACAGCCTGAATTCTGGCATTTCCTGAGCGCTATCGATTTGAGAAACTCGACGACAACTTCTTTCCGGGCCTGATACACAAGACTATCTTTATATGAGTCTCGTTTGCTGCTGGGTGCTGCCGTGAGATGAAGAGCCACGTATGCATCCATCCTCCGCTCAAATTCACTATCGCTTTCCACAGCTTCATCATCTTCCTCAGCGTCTTCGGCCCGTTTTGATTTCTTAGTTTTGACATTGACGTCGTCCAAGGCTTTAGCAGCGACGAGAAGGCCGTGTTCCAATAGACGAAGCTTGGCTATGGATTGGCAAACCTGTAGGAAGGGGGTCGTGTAATTTTAGCATTCACACGAGGTTGTACACGGCGAAGAAACACACCGATTTTCGGTCCAGCTTGAACCTATGGCAGAACATGCAGGTCCCACGAAGCAGACGGTACATATTCGCCATGAATAATGGATGGAAAACGGGCGCGGGCAGCTCTATGTGTCCAAAATGTCCAGGACATGTGAAGTATGTAAGTCGACAAGTGGCGCAGCTGCTCAGAACGTCAGTCTTATCCCGCTAGGGCAAATGCATCCGACATACATGTCCTGTTTGTTACTGGGTCCAAGAGCAGGATCGTAGAGACCCCCGATCGTCGGTCGATTAAGATCATCGAGAAGAACGGGATTGACGAGCTGCTTGACGGAGATGCGTCGAACGTCCTCAGTAGTGAGAAACGAGAAGGAGATACTCGAGACCGTAGAGGGATACGAGCGTGAGATGTTCATGCTGAGCAGTTGTGCAAGAATCAGACCGAAAAGAACCAGAACGTTAACGAGGCGAACGACGCGCGCGGTGGGGACTGAGCAGACCAGAGTCGCCGTTGAGTCGCCGTTCAAAATTTCGAATAGTACGGCCACGTGCCATCACGATCGGCAGTAGCAGCTGTAAGTTCCCCGCGCCCTACCGCCGCAAGAGCAAGCGTCTTTCTTTCTTCGTGCGTGTTGAAGATTGTAGCATCCAGCTGGACAATCGCCAGATGTGCAATATGGCTAAGGCCGACGACGGCGTGAACGAGACTCGTTGTCCAGATACGTGTGTGTGTTCTTTGCAGTGGAGAGGGTTCCCTCATGTCTTTCCCGTCTACTGTCAACTCACAAGAAAAGACCAATACGTTGGTTCTGTCTCTTTTAAGAAAAAGCTCATTGCCTTCTAAATCGTATTTGGTCTCACTTTGAAAACGGTGGTGTCATTGCACAGTCTCGGCATCCGTCTCGCGATGCCGATGCGTTCCAAAATCAACTGTCATCGATATTAGATGAATGGAACTCGTTCAACAGCGGGCTCCGCTCCGACGCTTCCGTCAAACGGTTGGTCAATGGAACGTCCGTCAGGCGGGATCTCCTCTATGAATGTGAGAATTCTGAACAACAAGTACTGTTTATGTAAGTATAACAACGTTCCAGCTCGCGCAGAACAATGTCATAAAGCAGACATCTGCAACCGAACGCAACTGTTACGCCTGAGGTATCACCCTGGCCCTCAACGACTTTGAGAGAAAAGGTTCGTGCCTCCATGCGCGATCACTGAGAGGCAGTGGTCGACAAAGATATCCATCTGTGCGAGCAGCGGCCATTGCAGACTGCCATACGCATCGGGATTCTGCTGCACCAGCGTTGACGCATGAAATGCAAAGCACGCCCATCAAGATATGGCTCACATGCGATGTCGATGGTATCCGGAAGCTATGATAAAGTACTGCGTTTACTGCCTCCTAGTCGTTTCCCTGTCTTGATCTTTTGCGCCTCCCCAACCATCTCGCCTATCAACTTATTGTACGTCTCCGAGTCTTGCTGCAGAGCGTCCCGTGTCTGCAGCAGATACGTCAAGACCGTTGACGTGTTGATCGTTTGCGCCTGGAGATCGGCCAAGTACTTCTCCAGTGCAGAGATAGGTTGCTGTAGCAGTTTATCTAGTTTGGCGTGTATATTCATTATCACCACCTCACATTGGTGGAGAAGTCCATGACAAACCTGGGTTTAGATCAAGCAATTGTGATAGTTTCGTTTCATTGAGCTCTGGACGGGGACCAAGACGTAGCTGCGCGGCTGCAGAGGAAGATGCTGCGATGGCGGTCTGAGGAGTCCCTGGACGTGGTGAACCCGCCGCGGAATTGCACGTTGAAGCATGACTTCGTGGTGCTGGAGCGGTGCGGGGACCAGGTGGAGCAGACATCGGTCTGGTCGTGATTTCGAGTGCAGGGAGCTTTCCATTCGCGCGTGGTAGGACTTCGTCTAGGTTCACCGGAATACCCAGCGATATCAGATGCCGTCTGCGTATCCGTGACCGTGTCCAGTTCACGGGCTGAAACGCCGGCGGCGCAGAGGGTAATAGCAGGTCGAACAGTTTACGACTGGAACAATCTGAGATTTGAGACACATGCAATGCTTGATAATGGCGGAGAGTGTGTACCTCTCGGAGGTGACCAACGTCTGGCTAAGACCAGCAGCCTCACGTATCTCTTTATCCGACATCTGCGACGCGTCAATAGTGACCCATAGAGGGCCAAGTATGTGGTCGACCTGCTCTTGCAAGTCCTGCCTTGATGATGAGGGGTCCAACCGGAGCGGCTGCCAATCAATCCCTGATGGACCGGGTATCCGCACCTCCTCCCCAAATGCAACCTCTTCATCGAACCCAGCGGAGTACTCAACCCCCTGCGGCCCTCCAAAGTCTCCAAAGTCTCCAAAATCATCGTCAACCTCCTCATCTGTTGCAGTAGTCGTCTCCGCTGGAGTATGGAAGTCCTTAAAGTCGTCAAAGCCATCCTCGCTTGAGAGAGTGGGGGTGAACGCGGCCGAGATGGGCTTGATTGCCACTGGCGATGCGGGAGCACCCCAAACCGATGCACCGAGAGATATGTCGTCGTCCATGTAGAGTGGTGCTCAATAGCAGAGGTGGCGAGCTAGCTAGTTGTGTGGGTATGACTAAGAATCTAGTTTTCGGAGGAATTCAAGCGATCGCATCACGCATCTCCAGGTTGCTGCTCTAAGACGCACAGGCGCGCAACGCGTAGTGTCGCGGACTTCGAACTCGACACCCACCACAACTATGTTCCATGAACTCCGCTAAGCCCTCATTTCTGTTTGCATTGCCAGGCTCGAAGAAGCGGAGGACTGCGCGCAAAGTGCACATCCGGCGCCTCTTCGACGTCCTGCAGCTCTGTATCCTGCGCAACGACTTATCACGCGGCCGACGAGCATGGGCGATCCTCCTACAATGCAAAGAAGTTAAATGGAAATCCCTGTGGCAGACGGCCGTTTTCCTGCTTGGAGAGCGAGAGAAGGACGACCTGGAATTCAGCGACGAGATGATAGCATTATTCAGCACCAAGATGCGACAGCATCCGGAACAGGTGCGGTCGCCTGTTGGTTTCTATTTGCTTCGGAACTTACGGAGGGGGGCCAGCGGGAGACCATTCTCAAAGAATTGATCCTGCAGCTCATACAGGCTGGAATGCACAGAGAGGCGCTGGACGAACTCGATCTGTGAGGACGAGCGATGACCCTGCGCATCGTACAGGCACTTATGATCGTTTCAGGTACCTGCCTTCCTTCCCTTATCAAGGTAATCCCGTCCTGCAAACGTACGCTGGGCTCCTGGCCCTGTACCTTGCGCAGCCTCAGACAAATGCTGATGCTCCACAAGAAAGTTCGTCCGAGTGGTGCGACGCTACACGCATCGAAGCTAATTTCATCCATTGCTAGAGCGAGTGTGGAGCAGCGCCCTGTTGCGGGACGCCCAATTTTACTTTGAACGCGCGAAAGCGATCGACCCCAAAAACGCCATCGCGATGGCATTCATCGAGCAGGTGCGCGGCACGCAGATTTTGATGCTAACGTCGACATGTTTATGGCATCCCTAGATGCCGATGATCACACAGCACGGTCAGCAGCACGATACATCGGAGTCAGACTCCGAATCCCAGTCCGACGATGAGGGGATAGAGATCAGTGATATAGATCGTCGCCACAAGCGGGCCCGGACTTAGAATCGCAGAACCTCATTGATTACGTTGCACTACGATGTCTACGGCGGTGTCATAACTAGTCTTCTATGTACTAGCTCTCCTCATCCGAATCCGAGTCCATGTTGATACTGGGCATCGGCTCGTCTTCTTCATTTTCGTGCGTCGCCACAAAACCCTGTGATGTTGACGATACAGGGGGGATTGAAGTCGGTGGCGGGATGGCACGGGTTTGCTCCGACGATAAAGTCGAGGAGACACCGGGCGTTTTTGACTGTACCTCCGGGGTTGCCGGAATGTCGTCCTGGGGAGGCGATGCATCGAACTGTTGCGGATGCATTAGAGGCGCATCACTTTGTGAATTTTGAGTAGTGACAGTGGCATGCCCCCCGGGAGTCCAGGGTGTCGGAGTAGCTGCAACGAACTGCTTGATGAATTGAGGAGCTGTGCCTGTGGCGGGCGTCAGTGCACTGCGATCGGAGGGCGCAGTGTGCAATGGACGGCTGGAAGCTTGTGCCGTATCCTGAAAGGCTGCCTCAGGACGGGACACCGGTGCGGTAATTGTCATTTGCACGTCCTGTTCATCCGCCGACGCCAAAGGCAGAGTGTCATTTGCCGTGCTCAATCCCAGAGACTGGCGTGCAGACAGCTCTTCCTCGCCTTCTTCCTCGCGGAACAGCGATAGCGTTTCTACGTGCGGCAAAGATCGGACGAGAGGGGGAACGCGGGGATGCAGAAGTAGCTCAATGTCACGCATGACGTCCGCGCCACACTATATCATATTAGCGAGGACGTCGGAACAGCGTTTGGCTCGTACACTTACCGGGTGGTGATAGTCAGGCGACATGGTCCCGATGACAAGACCGAGGCTCTTGCTCATCGTGCTGCTATTGCCTGATGCGAGGTCCCCGCATATATCACGTACGCGCGCGTACAGTCTGCCGTGTAGGGACAAATCGGGAGATATGAGCGCGGGCTGCATGTGCGGCAGCGCAATGTATATCGCGAGAAGGACGCGGGTGACAAGCGAGCGGACCGGAGGGGTTATTTGGGCAACTCGAAATACTAGCTTGACCGCTGTTCGAACCGCGGTCATGCTGTCCGTCACATATACGAAATGTGCAGGGACGTACCATCTGCAGCGACCAGCAGAACCTCCCCCTCCTCGGCTGTAGGACAGATAATTTCCATTGCCACCTTGAATACTTCGTCACCTTCGTAGCCGCGCGCCCTCTTCTTGCCTCTTTTGCCCGTGCTTTTGCTGGTGTCAGTACTTGAACTTCCTTTTTGCTGAGTCTTGGTCGCCAGCAGAGGGGTGAGGAATGGCAGGATGGCCCGCGCCAAACGCGACGAGAGCACTGCATCGTAGAGGTAAGACTCCGTCTGCAGCAACGACGCCGTTGCTCTCAAGAAATGCAAGCGTTGACGTCTAACGAGGTGTGAGTATAAGCTTTAGCACATAGCTGAACCTCCTACGCTGTCCGAGGTTGCTCTAGGTGATAGGATAGATGAGAGAGTAATTGACTGAGATGCGGGACCAGATGAAGACGTGCACTATAATCGCCTTGCATCAACACGGCTCAAGGGAGAACAATATGGGCGCAATGACCTTCCAGTAAGACTGATGATGAGGTCACAAGCTAATTCCCATATAACAGGTATAACAGAGACCTCCATGGCGCGCAAGGGAGGATCCACCGTCGCTTCGACCTACATCGTAAGGGTCAGCTGAATCACACGTAAGGTGGGTTGTTCTACCCTTTCGTCGGGACTACAGCGCAGCAACGCCGCAACGAAATTGACTAATGACCCAACTGGAAGCAAGACAGGCCGTGCCGTCGAAGAGCTACCTGGCGATCAGAGTCGTACACAATGGCGAGCAGAAGACATGAACTCACTGCAATAAATCGCAGAGAACACGGGAAGCGGCTCGCAGGCGGTCTAAGCTCAGAGGAACCAGAATAACAGGGTCATTTGTTGATGGCCCAGCCTGAGGAATGACTTGGCTATTCCCTGAGTGTGGACGTTAGGTCTTATTCTGTGGTAGACACTGATATGGTCGTTTGCACCTGCTGAAGGGAATGTTCTTCTCAAGTTGAAGAATGCACCCCATGCGAACGACAGAGTCTCGTCCAACGACTTGCGCCAAAGGCTCGTCGCACCGACCTTGCCTCCTGTGACGTGCAGAGTCGAGTACAGTTTTGACGCAGCCTCTACGAGAGCGACCGGAGTTGGATTCGGTGTCGAGCCATTGAGATGCTTTAGAGCCAGCGAGGATAGTGATGCATGCAAACTGCGATGAAGAGTAGGATACAGAGGAATTAAATGCGTGAGGGTCGCCAATGCTAAGACCTGGGGCATCAAGTAAGTGAAGTGAACGATTCCAGAAGTATCAGCAGATAGCGACCTTTACTTCAGCATCGCTCTGCTTCTCATCCAGTGCTACCAGTGCAGCGGTGAATTTTGGCATGTTAGGGACGCAGAGTTGGCGTTGAAACTCTGTGACGTCTGTGGCACTGGAAAATATGCGTCTCAATAGCCTGATGGAGGCTTTCAACGTAGGTTGAGGTTCTTCTTTCTTATGTGGAAGGCAGAATATGAGGATTGCATTAAGTATGGAAATAGTATACACGGACTGAGAGTGAGGGCAACGCAACACCAAGCCAACTTTGCGCACATTCCATCATCATCGCTTTGGAGCAAATTGCCGTCCGGAGGGCAAGGGATAGACCAGCCCACCGTGCTCCAGCATCCTTGGAGTGCAGTAAATAGTTAATCCTGGCTGTCCATTTGTGCGTATGGGGAGAGGGAGAGAGGATGTCCGGGTTAATGGTTTCCAGCACGAAGGGGAGATGCAAGACCGCGGAAGCATCGGAACCGAGCTGCAGCTGAAGTAGACTTTTCAAAAGATGAGGTTCCTCCATGTTGGTGGGAGCGGTAGATCGCTCGGACGCGGTCCAAAACTTTGGCCGCCACCGGTATTCACATCATTTGATCGCCGGGTCACGGCTGCGTTGTACGGCGCATTCAATCACTGCGACTTTAGACGTCCTTTCCAACAATCATCGCGACTTCAAACGTCCGCCACAACAGCGAGCTCGCCCTCGATGGCAGCGAGAACAGTGCTGGACCCGCACGTCCAAGAACATCTGCGCTTAGAGGCATTCGAGGTGTGACAATCGCCTTGCTCCCACTATCCGCCCGTGTTCCAACCGGTGATTTCAGGGCAAGTTCGATGTCAAGGACTTGGTGGGGAGCATCTCCGAGAAGCTCATTGCACAATCGAAGGCCGATCCTGGGCGTACGTGTAGTGGCACGCTTCCCCTTGTCGCATGGACTCATTCATCCACTCGAAGCGTTCGATCCCAAACCTTTCATTCACACTTTCGAAGCCGCTGTTGACAAGCTCATAGCAGTCAGGAAGGATGTTCAGGCTAAGACGGAGCAGATGGAGAAGATTGTCAGGACGACAGAGCGAGAATACTCCAAGAAGATGGCAGAGCTGGACAAGGGCTTTGAGGTGTGTTTCGCGTTCTGACGGTGTCGCCATGCTCCCTCAATGCTGCTGTTAGTCAGTCGGTCAGTCCTTCTCGGGTATGGAGAGCAAGATGAACGAGGTAGGGCGCACTGCCATCAGGATAGGTCAAACGAACCACTGTTTCCTCTCCCTGAATTTCGCTGACGTCGACACAGGTGAACAGCTGGAGTCTGTGCACCATCAGCGACAAAGGGCGCAGGCAGCATATGATTTGATTGACTACTACAACCAGTTCTCGAAGGACGATACAGTTCGACTAGATGCCCTCAAGAAGGAGGGAAAGGAGGGCCGGCGGCAAGTTGCTGTCCTACTGCGACGCCTGAATGTCGTTGCCAAAGAAGTGGATCTGCCACATGCGGACAAGGTATGTAATGAAACCTCGAGTCCATGCTAGTTGTTGACGGTGCAAGCGCTGCGTCAGACGCGAGAGAACGTCGACAGATATTGTGAGAAGTTTGAGAAAGACATGCTCCATCTGTTCGACCGCGCGTATCGCAAGGGAGATCCCAAGATGATGCATGTATGCTACATGCTTCTCGCGCAAAGCCTATTCCGAGCTCATGAGGACTATGTTGCAGCATTGCGCGCAAACACTTCTCGATTTCAACGGCGGCGCGTCATGCGTGCAAGTCTATGTCAATCAACATGACTTCTTCATTAACCGTGTGCGCGAGACGAGCAACATGGAGGAGGACTTGTTCGTGACCCTACATCTCCACAACTTACCGCCTTTACAACCAACTGACTCTCCTGTTGTAGGTGGCATACTCTTCCAGGTCCCAATGCAAACCCTCCAACGTCAGAGTCAGGTTTGAATGAGCTCTTCCAGGAGATTCGAACGACAGTGGGGCAAGAAGCACAGATCGTGCAGGCCGTCTTCCCGAACCCTCCCTTTGTCATGCAAGTGTTCTTGCAGCGAGTATTCGCACAATCGGTTCGTTGTTACCAACCTCATCGCAACGCAGGGTACACTGACTCCGCTTTGCAGATCCAACAGTACATGGAACAGCTTTTGAACAGAGCTGCGGGGCTGTCTGATCTCGCCTTCCTGCGCATACTGCAGCTGGTCCACCAGCAGACGGCTCTGCTCATCGAGGACCTCAAGGCATATGAGGTCTCCTCAGTTATCCCTCGCTCTCCCTCTGACATGGGCGACTTCAACCTGATGCTGAACGCCGCTCCATCATCAGCCGCTGCGACGACTGCAGCTACCGTGAGCACCATGCTGGAGACCGCGATGGAGGAGCTCTTCGTGCCATACACTGAAGGCCAGAGGTACCTGGAGAAGGAGAGCAAGAGTCTGGGTGAGCTTTACGCGAACTACCTTTCGAACTTCACTCGGTACCACGTAAGCCTGACGCTGCAGTAATTGCTGATATGACTTACGGCCATCTCCTTCAGGAGCGGAACCACAAGGGCTCAAAGTCGTCGATGTTCGACCGCATGGTCAACCAGCTGAGCGCCGCTGCCTCGAACACGTCGACGTCGGGTACCTCTACTACATCCGCACAGGCTGCTGCCGCGCTCATGCGCTTTGGAGGCCTGTCAGCCGACCGTGAGAAAGACAAGTTGGGCGAGGACCCTATTCGCGAGGAGGATGGGCAGGTCAGCGTCCAGATTGCGGAACGGATGCTGAAGTGGCATGCAGAGGCCATTGGACGATGCGTCGAGATGAGTTCTGCGAATGATGTGTGCGTGGCAGCGGAAGATTGGTCGATGCGCTTTCTCACTGATGTACTCTGCCGGCAGTCCAAAACATACCTTTGCTCTATTGCGTGTCCTGGCCGCAGTGATAGGCAACGCATATGTAGAGCCGGCTTTGGAGACGTACGTGGTGAATTTGTTTCCCACTTCTTAACGACCGACCTGGACTACACAGTGCACAAGTTCGACTGGAAGCGGCAGATACGAAGTCTGAGCCATCTCTGCAGGCGCTGACTGTCGTGCATGAGGTCGATCTTATATGCCATCTATGGCAGCACTACGTGAACATGGCGTTGCTTCCCCTCTCCAGCAGCTCAGTAACGGTGCGCCGGGAGATGGTCGTCTTTAACAATCAGACTGTCAGCAGGATTGAGGGTGCTGCTAATCACCTCATGCAACGTCTCGCTGACGGTCAGTCTGGCGTATACTCAAACTCAGGCATATTGGCTCACTCTTTCATACAGCTATCATCAGCTGGCTCTCTGCGCAGCTGGCAAAGCAGAAGAGGAACGATTTTAAGCCGCGGAACGATGATCTGTCCTTTGCGAGGGTGAATACGGAGCCGTGTGTTGCGTGCTGCGATGTGCTGGAGAAAGTCCGAGATGCTGCGAAGGCCAACTTGAGTGGCAAGAACCTGGAAGTGTTCTTGACCGAGATCGGCGTCGCGTTCCATAGGTGACTGTCAGTCGCAAAGATCACGTACGCTACGACCTGACAATCATTCTCAGCTTGCTCCTTGACCACCTCAAGAAGTTCCCAGTCAGCGCGACGGGAGGACTGATGCTCGCCAAGTACGTCTACCTTACTAAAATGCAGAGACATCTCTAACCTTTCGCGTCTCGCGCATATAGGGATCTCAAGTCATACCAGGACATCATCAGCAGCTTCTCCATTCCCTCTCTACACGAACGCTTCGAGTTCCTCCGCCAGCTCGGCAACGTCTTTCTCGTCCGGCCAGACATCCTCAAATCCTACATCACCGAGGGCTACCTCGGGCGCATCGACTCGACGCTCCTCCGGCCGTACCTCGCACAGCGCGTCGACTGGGGCCAGGCAGAGAAGGGCTTCAACGACAGCACCGAGGACGTGAACCTGTCGGAGGGCAAGGGCCTGAAGGATCGGCTTGGGATGGGTAGGTTGAGCATGATCATGAAGGATCTGGAGCCGTTGAAGGATATGAGCATTCGGGATATGAGCCTTCCTGCGCTATCAAGTTCGATACCGACCAATTTCTCGATGTCGTCGCGATTTGGCAGATAGACTCGTCGTCATCGATGCTATTTTGTGTTTCTGATCACCGCTGGTCACGCTGTACGTAAGAGACTACTACCGCGCTGGCACGGCTTCAGTCAGTGACTGCATTCAGCCACGGATCGTCCAGTAGTTCTCCAGCATTCGCTCTCTCCTCAGGTTTCCACTTCAACATCTTCCTAACGAAGTGAAGGAACAGCGTCTTATCCTCCCCTGCAAGATTCTTCTCGGCATCCTCCAAGCTCGTGTTTGGAATGCCAGCTGCTCCCTTCCAATTGCCTGTGCAAATGTTACGAGCTATGTATTTGTTCCGGTTATGAATGATACGCACCATCCCTATCAAACCATTGCCAAGGACGATCAGTTTGACTTCGCTCGAGGAAGTCTTTCGGTGGAAGGCCGAGCAATGCGATCATGTGAGCAAGGTGATAGATATTGTCCTTTTTGTTCTCAGCTCCTCCTGTAGTTTTGAACAGATTGCCGTTCTCAAACAAATCCCAAATCTGCGGCATGTGGTTCGCATGATCTTTCGAAGGCTATGAAGAGAGTATCGCTCGCCAGAACTCCGACGTTCCAGATATCCACCTTGTCATCCCAAGGAATGTCTAAGACGACTTCGGGGGCTCGATATTGATAGGGTTGAATGTCGTCGATCGGATTGTATTTGCCGAAACGAGCCTCGCCGAGATCACAGAGTACCGGTCGGCCATAATTGTAGATACGAGGGACCAGCGGTCGGGATGTGTAGATGATTCGGTCACCGTCAATTTTGCGCGGACTGGGAGACTCTACCTCTTGCTTCTCAAATTTCTTCAAATCATCTTCGGCAGAGTTGTCGTCCAAGCCTAGTAAAATGTTCTTCTCCTGAATATCTGAGCCATTCGGACAACGCATATGATGTGAACATAGAATACAGATCGACGTGACGTGGCTCACCGGTGTGTATCACTCGAGCCTCAGTATGCAGGAAGTCGAGAGCAAGAAAGACATGCTTGAGAACCGACCTCAAGAGCATGACAGGCAGGGATTTATCGGAAAGCATCTTCCGAAATCCTCGTAGGGTGATCGCCAAAGGTGAGTAAACGATAGCTTGATACTTCTGGTCATGGCTGGTGACTTTGAACTGATCCAGCATCTCGCGGACCAGCGAGGAGCCTACGTGGTTTGTTTTGATCGTTCTCAAGTAGCTCGAGACTGAGAGCTCCCGCGAAAGCGCATGACAAGTGCCGATCTTGAGGGCTACATGCCGATGCTCCCTGGCGAGATTGAGCAAAGACTAATGTTCTGATGATCAAGACAGGCTTACGTTAGGTCCCGACATAGCCATACTGTGGAATATCCTCCATACCCTAGTTTTCCAACGACCTGATACTTTGACTTGAAGACTTCACCTATTCGCACTGGATAAAACTCGTCTGGTCTGTACCACTCCCAGGTCTCCTCTTCGACCAAGCAAGAGTTGTCGATGACCTCGAAGCCACTCGTAGGGAACAATCGCGGGGGCGATGGCCTCCGTACGAGGCGGCGAGCAGCACGGAGAAGAGACGACATTCAAGTTTCAGACCGAGGACATGAGTTCAGCAAGACGTCCGAGGTCCAATTGCCCGAGCGTACGGTTGCCCGCTCAGGCTAGTCCGAGCTCGACAGAGGTGGCGGCGAAAGAACGGCGCTGGCTTCAATGGCTTGACGACCGCAATCTCGATCACTGATATGTTTCAATACCTAACGTTCAACAAAGTTAGTAACTCTCTACCCGCGTCCGTCCCTCCTCCCTCCCTCCACCAGCACCCACCATGCGCTGCTGCTCGTCTTCGACGGCGCGCATCTTCACGCTCTTTTTCTTCGCACTCCTTTCGGCACAGTCCTTCGCGCTCGCCAGCGCCGAGTCCACGTCCTCGGACTCTCCATCGTCCACAGTCGCGACCACATCCAACTCCGTCACCCCCACTTCGACTGCAGCTAGCACTACGTCGGCCGCTGCCACCGCGAGCCAGTCATCTGTAGTAGAATCTACGTCGGCTGCCGCGTCCACGACTTCACATGCGTCGAGCACCGAAGCTACTTCCGCGTCCACTTCCTCCACCGATGCAGAGTCTAGTACTTCCGCCTCATCCAAGGCCATGTCCTCGTCTTCATCTGTATCTGCGACGTCTTCCTCGACCTCTGCAGCTGACTCGTCTTCAGCTGCTTCCTCGTCCCCCGGTTCGTCTTCCGTGTGAGTCTTTCTTCTCCAGCCTCGGATCGCGCTCACCGGTCACCTCGAACGCATAGCTCTGCTTCGACTTCCTCAGCCTCCGGGAGTGTCTCCTCCGCAGTATCGTCCTCCTCTACCACCAATTCCGCAGTAGCTCTCGTCACACAGGCAATCCTCAACACAAGTACACACTCGAGTTCTGTAGCGACAACCACTAGCACCGCCTCCACAAGCGCATCGTCCAGCTCGTCGTCATCACCGTCCGCGGCATCCACCTCCAAGTCGTCCTCCGGGTGCGCTCGATCATTTCATCTTGTCTGCTGCGGCCCCTACTCACTTTGAAATTCCAGCTTCTGGTCACACAAAGCCGCGGTCATCGTCGTCTTCATCGCCGTAGGCTTGGTCGGAATATTCATACTCCTCGCCATCATCCTGCGCATCGTCCGATACCACCGGAACAAAGACTTCCACGTAGAGGACCCGTCGTATTTCGAGAAGGACCTTCACCCAACGGGAAGCTACGCCGACCTGCACGGCGATATCGATGACGGCCGCAGCGTAGCAGACGACGGCATCCCAGATCGCACGTCGCGCTTCGTGGATGCACAAGGCGGCGGCCGCGACTCCATCGTCGAATACGCGCGTGGCACGGCGTATGCTGCGGCACGCGTCCAGCCTGGACCGTACGCGTACAACGGTGCTCCCGGCGCGTACAGCGGCGGATTTACGAACGCACACTATCACGTCCAGCCTGCGGATACTTTGGGTTCGGGTGACCCGTATAGTATCGCCAGGCCTGCGGAGAGTGCGCATGCGGGTAATTACTCGTATGCGGCGCAGACTTACGGTATGCCCGGTGCTGCGCAAGCTCCGTACTATGGACAGGCCACCAACGGCTATCTGGTCGATACCCGCTGATTCATTCATCGCCAGCCACTTTCTGGCATAGCTGATGGCAGACGCATTCTTTGCCACGTGCACACTTCCGTATATCGGGTTGGGCTGGTCTTGTGTTGTTCTTCCCTTGTCTTTTCTAGTTTTTGGTCTGATGTTTTTATTCCCCTCCCCACCACCCGATACCCCATGGACCCTCGCCTGCTATTAATACTTCTGCGCAGGTGTGTTCATTTAGTAGTATGTACATTGTTGCGGCCCCCGCGGCTTGAACACTTGGACTCGTTGTAATCTGCTGTCTTTGACCTCGAGCGGATCAGATGTTGCACACGGCTGTCGATATTATTAGGTACTCACGAACATGTCTGTTTGGATAGGAGACTCGTATTGTTCCTGTCCTTACACAGCGTGCAGCCGTCATCTGTAGGAATACATATGACCATGTCCTAGGATACGTTAAGCGTTTGTACGGAGAAGTCAAGGAAGCGCTAAGTACTCGTCTCCGCACAGCTCCCCACCCGCGCCCATCTGATCGTCCCGCCCGCTGCCCACAATCATCTGCACAATGTCTCACGCGTACGAGCACCTCCTCCCTCCGAGCTGGAAACCACAAGTCACGGCGTGGCTCGCGGAGGACACACCGTCTTTCGACTACGGCGGCTACGTCGTGGGCGAAGCGCAGCGGGAAGCCTTCCTGCTCGGTAAGGGCAAACAGACGGCCATACTCGCTGGCGTCCCATTCTTCACGGAAGTCTTCGCGCAGGTCGGATGCGAGTAAGTGTCCATCAGACCAGGCCGTCGTCTGCGCGTGCGGGGACTGTGCGCTGATCGGCGCGAAGGGTGGAATGGCACATGCAGGAGGGCGAGACGTTCGAGCCCGTGAAGCATGTCGCGACTGTAAGGGGGAAAGCCCGCCATCTCCTCCTCGGCGAGCGTGTCGCGCTGAATATGCTCGCGCGATGCAGTGGGATCGCGACACGGTATGTCGGAGCCCTCGTAGACTTTGCTACAGTGACTGTGACCACGCTTTCTCAGATCCAAGAACGTGTTAGACAAGGCGAGGAGCTACGGCTACAAGGGGATCATCGCGGGGACGCGCAAGACGACCCCTGGGTTTCGCCTTGTCGAGAAGTACGGCATGCTGGTGGGCGGGATTGACCCGCACAGGCACGACCTGTCGAGCATGATCATGCTCAAGGACAACCACATCTGGTCATCAGGTACGTTATCCCGACCGCGCTACGTCCGACGCCCACCGCTCGACGCCAGTTCCCTGACGACTTCCCACAGGCTCGATCACCGCGGCCATCCAGGCCGCGCGACGTGTGGGCGGTTTCAGCCTCTTGCTCGAGGTCGAAGTGCGCTCCGAGGCGGAGGCTGACGAGGCGATTGACGCGGGTGCGGACATCGTGATGCTGGACAACATGGAGGGCGCGGAGCTCGCGGGCGTTGCGCGTAAGCTCAGGGAGAAGTGGGCGGGCAAGCGCAAGTTCCTCTTCGAGAGCAGCGGGAACATCACCGATGCAAATCTGCGCGAGCGTGCGATCAACGGTGAGCATGAGACGAGCCGCTTCCGCGGATAGACGGTGCTAACGTCTAACGCCTGGTTGGCAGAAATCGACATTCTCAGCACTAGCATGGTGCATCAGTCTGTGCAGCACATCGACTTTAGCTTGAAGATCCAGATGCCAAAGTGAACCAGCCAGGTGACGTCCGCGGAAGTGCAAGCGAACAGAAGGCTAACACTTTGTAACATATGTATACCACTTCTTTATTCAATCAGTATCAGTGCTGTATCGATAGCATATTCACTACGCTTCTTGGACGGACGTTTAGGGAATCTTGCCCAAGCCGAACAGTTCGATCGCATTTCCTCCCCGCACAGCGTTCTGTTCGGCCTCGTCCCAGCCGAACACACCATCGATAGCTTCCAGATTCTCGACTACGCTCTTCCACTTCTCCGCCTCTCCTAGCGGGGGAAAGAATGGGTGATCGGTTCCGAAGAGCATCCGCCGGCTACCTAGCTTCCTCTGCACACCCCCTGCGCCTGCAGATGCGGCCGCCGATGCTCCGCTCTTGACATACTTCTCCGCACGACCAACCGTGTCGCTGACGAAGCCGAGCTCCTCTGAACCGTAGGCGACAGCGTCAAAGTAGAGCTTGCCGAGGTAGTAGCGCGCGTCGTGCTGCAGGCGCGAGGCGACGACGGGGTCGTGGTCGATGCAGGAGGCAAGACGTGAGGACAGCTGCGGGAGGGCGCCCCCAGAATGCGCGAGGAGGATGCGGAGGTCGGGATGTCGGTCGAGCACTCCACTGAGAATCAACCGTGTGATGGCCTGCTCGGGAGCGTGAGCGATCGACAGCAACGTTCAGAAGGGTGAACACACACGATAGTGGTCTCGAATGGGAAGCCTAAGGCCAGCGGGAGTACGTGGCCGTTGTCCTTCTCTCCCCATTCCTTCTGGTCGACGCCATAATGAGGATGGAGGAAGACGACAAGAGCTGCTTTCTCGATGGCTGCCCATACGGGTTCCAGGGCGTCGTCGTCCAGTCCCTTTCCTAGTCCACGAGAGCCGATGATGACGCCTTTCAGATGGGGGAGATTAGATATCTGTTGTATGATTTCGAGAAGAGATGCGCTTGATGCCTCCGGTACGAGAGGCAGTAATCCGAAGCCGTATAATTGCTTCAACGTCCCGTCGGCGAGATTGGGAGACGTGGAACAGTACTCCTCGAGGTCGCTGTTCAGTTCGCTGGCAAGCACTTGTGCCGTGGCGGCGGGCAGGAAGTCCAGCCACGGGTTTGCCGTGCTGCACCGTGTTCAGCGCTCAACTCTATTGCAACGCCCCCTACACGTTCCGCCGAGCACGACTCACCTCACGATGGAGATATCGATACCATGCTTGTCCATAAACCTGAGCTTCTCGGCTCTGTCCCAGAACTGCTCGTGGCTTCAGGAATCCGCGGTGCAACAAGCATGATTGACGAGGAGTGTCCAATTTACCTGCGAGCCCATGGGTCGCCCTCCGCTCGGCTCTGCATCGAGGATGAGCAGCCGTTCCTCGGTCTTGCCCTCTGGGGTGGTTCTGGAGAAGACGCGCGGCACGCTGGTGCGCGAACGCAGGAAGGAGACGTAGCGCGGGAGGTAGACGTGGGTGTGCACGTCGACGAGGAGTCTCCTGGATGCAGCAGCCATGGTGGAATAAGAAAAAGAAAAAGGAGGAAAGGTATCGTCGGGAGGTGGGTATCAATGAGAGATAAGTAAATGGTTCCTGGCCAAGCATTAACGCGGTGTCTCATCAATGTACATTCGATCACGATCGACTGTGTAGTACTCGCTATGATTTGCAGGAGCATTCACGCGAAGCGCTTGCTTTGCAACCATTCATTATTCTGAAGAAACAATTGCAAGCTGTCTCTCGAGCTCACGAAATCTGTACGTACAAAGTCGTGCAATGCAGCAACGGGTGCCTGGATTTACACAAATCGAACATCAGATACTGTCATATGCAGGCCGGTGCGTGGCGGGAAGCGTCGATCGACTCCTCGATATGTAGCTATGGGCCCGGGGCAGGCGACGCAGAGTGTTCGACCGGCAATGAGGATGGCTTAATGCAGGCCGCTCTGGCACGCACCCTCTCTTGAACATGAACGTCCATCATGGTTGCGACCGAGGATAACATCGAGCTCTGTACTTTGCGCGACGAGGTGCTATTGTCTTGCCGACTATCACGCTACATAATGCATTAACCGTTCCCCTCGTGCAGCTAGCCGCAGTCGCCGCGACGATTACCAGCGTTCAGCGCAGGTTCGTTGCCGCGATAGCCCGATCTGAGCAGCGGATGAAGGAGCTGGAGGGCCAGGTGAACCGGCTGCAGGCTGAGAAAGCGGCAGCATCTCGGAAGATACGGAATTTGCACGTCGAAAACGCACAACTTCGCGAAGAGCTCGAAAGCAAGAAGGAAGGCGTCGCCAAGGCCGTCCCTACACGCGTCGCTACCCCACGCAAGCTGTATCGCGCAAAGAAAGCCGTCCAAGACCCGGACGAACACAAGGTAAGACGAGAGCTTCGATGTGTTACAGCAGGATTGACCGGCACCTCAAAGAGCGCATTTTCTTCAAGTGCCCCTACGCAAACGGCCAAGAAAAGCCAAGACGCAGAAGATACGGACAGTTCGGACGACGATGAGTTTGCTGAAGCTTCAGCTTCTTTTCCGGATGACATACAACCAGAGAGCCAGAGTGCAATGAAGCCTAGGAAAAGTGCTCCAAACACCAGCGAAACCGTTCCCCATGTGACATCCAGACGAGTCTCCGAGGACCCCAAATCAAAGCAGGCGCAAGTCATCGTAGAAGCCAGGACATCTAGAAGAGGCGCTCCTGCGCACTCTGAGCAGTCCAAGAGCAAGGCGAAGCCCCAAAAAACAAAGGAGCTGCAGATAAACTTCTCGTATCTTGAATATTCACGACCACCCGCGACGGCTGCCATAACGGCTGGACCGTATACCTACCGGATGTTGCAGGAGCGACTAGGGCTTGATGATGATACAGTAAGCCTTCAAGCAACAAGCTCAGCGAGGAGACACTGACTTGCAATCATAGATGATAGGCATCGAGAAGTAAGCGAAGCTTTTTGCAGTCAGACACTGTCCGTGTTCCTGACGAAGAATTCTAGCCTGGAATGGATGCGCGATCCGTGCATGCGAATCCACATCCACGACGATATGATGTTCGTGCTGCAGCCTCTCGTGTACGAAGGGCCATCAAGCTACCTCATCAGCTGGAGCGAGGAGATCGTAAACCAGAACATGAAGGAATACATCGTGCAGGGTGATCGGCGACCAGTAGATTCGGTGTTCCACATGTTCGCGAACCCTTGTGCGACGGTATGTTGGTCGGCGTTCGCTGCAAAGCATGGGGAAGTACTGAGCAGCATCAATGCTTAAAGGACGCTTGGTTTTACCTTGGAGCACACAAACTGACTGTCAGAGAGTTGAGGTCGGTGTGGCACAAGACGCTGCGGGGTCAGGTGGGTAGTCCTTCGAGCTCTTGCGCGGATCTCGTTAAGTGTGATCCGACACAGGATAAGCACAAACTTGCTGCGGAGCTGGAGAAGAGATGGAGATATAGCCCGCTGGATAGGCGAGACATCGCAGGAAGAGTGGAGCAAGGAGAGCTGGAGCAGTTCTGCATTGAGCTCGATAGCACCGGCCAGCTAGCGAAGTCGATCGATTTCGTGAAGACGTTGGGAGGGGAGTACAGATTGAAGGACGGAGATGGTAAAGCTGCTGCATAACTGTATACTAGCAGGCTGCCTGTTTGTATGATCGGTACGCGCGTCGTCTGCGTGCCTGCCACTGTCAAGCGGTGCTATTTTGATGACTATGGCCGTTCATGTTTGGTCATGGTTGATCTATGAGCCTGGATGCGCGGAACATTGGTCGTGCATACTGTAAGCCCGCGAATGAGGACCGCGGCGATGATCCTGCGCGGCACCGTTAGACGATCATAGCCTGTCGAAATGCGAGCCAGTGGTCAGATGGGAGACTCCGGAGAGAGCAGGACAGAATGATGCCATGCACTGCCCCGTCCCGCCATATCGACAGGCTGAGGGAGTCGAGACGGAGGAGGACGATGCGAAACAGAGGTTGGCGGCGAAAGAAAAAGAGATCCCGCGCCGCGCTATCAACTACACGCCCTGCAACCTGATGCGTCATCAGGAAATTTGGTTCGCGTTGCATAAGCGCGAATAAGCGGTTTAAATTGTAGCTATTGCGAAAATTATATTGACCCCTATGCGAGCAGTTACGAAAACCTGAACGATTTGCGCAACCGGTTACAATCGCAGCAGTACCACATTATAATGTATAATAATCCGTACACTAATGGATTACTATCGGACACCGGAGACGTTGTAATCGCAGCAAGCAGTGATTATAATCATGAGTAAACCCGGCATACACATTGTATCAAAATTTTTGTTTGTATACATAGTAGGCAACTAAGCATCCGTTCCGTACCTTGTTTATCTCTATTGCCGTCTACTGCCCGTAGACCTCATTCACGATCAAGCGCCTTACAAGTTGAAGCTTCAACTTTGTACTCACTCACCAAACATCGCAAGAATGTTTACCGTCGGACTCGAACACGCACGCGCACGGGAAACACTTGATGCTAAAATATCGGTGCCACTTACCAGTGCACTATAGATGCGACATTAGATCCTGCGTAGACAGTCCCAAATAAGCGCCGAAGACGCGTCACTCTCAGCGCCACAGCGCCACAGTGCGATTTTGACCGTTCACGAAGTTCCTGCTCATTCCGTCGGGATCACCGTCTTGCTCGCTGTGGCTCTGCTCTATGGTCCTCCCAGAACTCTAGAGTCTTCCTCAGTCCGACTCTATTACTCGTTTTGGCTTACCTCGATCTTGGATCGTGAATTTCGAAGTCTTTGCCTCACTCTGCCATCGGCACTCTCAGTCTCACAAAGCACTCTGTCCAAGTCGAGGCTACCTCAACTATCTCTCTGCGTCCGACGAGAACCTCAGGGCCCTGAGGTTTCGCGCACTGATGCCGATCACTGCAAGCACAGAGACGATGCAAGCTGTCAATGTATTCGTCGCCATCCTCCCCGCGGAGCGGTACTGGACAGTGGACACCTCCCACGCTAGCCGCAGAAGCGCACCTATCTGCTCTCTGAGGCAGTGCAACAAACCGGGACTGCTGAGCTGTTGAGATGGAGGGCGAGAAGCATATGTAATTTAAGGTGTTTGTGCATCCCGCCGAAGCTCGTTCGTGTGGTATTCGGTCGTCACAGCTCGGAAGGGCAGCAGGTAAGCGTTCTTATGAGAACGGATAAGTGAGGATGGGGATACTGCTCGTGGTGCGTGTTGGATCATGTCGGTGGTGATAGTCGATTTCATGAGCCATCTTGTAGCGTTTTCCTTCGCGACTCTGTACCTGATCTCATCTCATGAACATGCTCCGCCTTCACGTTACCGACCTGCACTTCGCGATTCCCACTCTACTGCATTCACCTTCATGTAGGCCTTGCAATGTCCATCTTGCTTAATAATCTCTGTTAGATTTCTTGATAGCAGATCGAGCATGGGACATCTGCTACCAACACGAAGACGTCGATTCTGTTGATTTTCTCACCATGTGGTCGAGTGTCGGTTTAGCTAGTCGAGTCGCGAGGTTCCTCAATCAAGTTCCACCATTTTGGCACTGTACAGAGCAAGTGTCCCTTTGTCGCTGACTGTTTGGATTCCTTTACGAACGCCTATTTGGATTACAGGTTCATATCGAACAGATTGGTAGCATCCGAGCTCTCCCTCATCGCACCCGGGCCTCCAGCTATTCGAAAAGCTCGACGAGAATATTGAGGAGATCGCCAACGGACTGGCGGGAAACTTGTGGAATACGGAGCAAGTCGGCAGTGTCCCGGGCGGAGGCGAAGAACATCATCGCATTGTCATGTGTGCTCCATGTCAAACGAATATGAGTGTTGATGAACGATTCAATTCAGCGACAAGCAAGACCTTGGTACGAATATCTGTGGTTAATAGTCTGACAAGTCATGCGAGGAGTTCATGAAAGGTGAAGAGAGTGAGGGATAAGAACATCGTCAGGTAGGTGGATGTGCGTTCTGAGCGTGGCTCAGCGAGTCATGATGAACAGGTGTGTTGTGCAGTCACATCGGGAGTAGCAAGTTTCTCCGGCAGAGTCCTTGGTAGGAAATAATCTAGCGAGTCTATTTTTCACTTCCTGTATGTATGAAGCATAGAGTGATACTAATCTCGTGTTGTCGTGTACCTTGGGTGCTTGGACCGCAGCTTGGAGTTGGCGGGCATCAGTGCAGATACTGAACTAGTATTAAGCGTCTTCCATCACTTCTAACCCCCCCAGCTACGTTAGTTCGCACTTAAAATAAGCTTATAATCTCTGTCAGGTACGAACATGTGCGATTATGAGCGATCCGGACTTGATTGTAAACAGCAATAAGGCGATTATAATATTTCAGCCAGTGTTATAACTGTTTGCCGCAGATTGTAAGCAATCATAATACGTCCCGCACCAGTACAATCGCTAAGTAAGCCTCGCGCAAACATTATACAGTACACCTGCTCATAATGCATTCCCTCATAGTGCATAACACCTCATAACGCATAGCTCCATGTGGGCACGGAGTTGGTGCCCGCCAAATTATGCATGAGATCTCATACCGCATAATGCATACCTAAAACGCGGCATTATGCATTATGATATCGTGAGAATAATGCCTAACTAGGAAGTTTCACGTGCATTGAAGGTTATACAGGACGCATAACACCATTTTTGTCCCGTAATTATGTTTATAAATTATGTTTATGTCCAAATTTGGGGGTACTAAACCAGGTTTGTCGCAAAAAAGTAGTAGAAATGTGAGGCCTATTTTGTGTGCGTGACAGCCCTACCTTGAAAAGTCACGCATAGTCACTCAACGTCACACTATGTGACAGCCTGGTAATGCATACTACCTCATAATGCATAGCCAAACCTGGGCACCGACGTTATGCGTTATGAGCAGGTTGTACTGTAAAGCTATCTCTTTGCGGCCTTCGGTTATAATCTCAACTCAAATTTCCTGATGTAACCACCTGCCGGTGGACCTTTTCACAGCTGCGGAGCACAGGACAAAACGCATGCGATAAACGTGTGGTTTCCCTGAATTTGTACTGAGCAGAATGCATGATGCGTGGGACAGGATCCTCAAAGCCCATCGCGGTGTCCATTCACATCCATAACGTCGGGCATACTATGAAATGACATATCGATATTGCTGAGCAGTCACTACATCCTCGTGAGCTACAGAACACAACCAGGTATTTTTGTAGGTGCACTGTCACAAAGGTCCATACAACGGCGGCACCGTCTAGGATATCTCGCTCGACACACAGTAAAGTGAAAAGTAAACCCAATAATATACCAGTCACGGACAAGCCGCGCAACGTCCAATATACGAATATTATTCAAAAGGGATGCGAGGGAAAGTCCACGCCGTACAACCAACCGACTTGACAAGGAGCGGTCATTTAGGCAAGAGCGACACCAAGGAGGGCGAGCAGGCTGAGCAGGCCAGTCTGGACACCCATGCCTGCAGCAGCAGCGCTGGAGGAAGAAGTGCTGCTGGCTGAGCCAGTCGCGGTGTGGGAACCGGACCTAGAGGCAGAATCGGTGTTAGAGTGTGGTCGAACAAGCGTCAAGTAAAGGCCATTCCGGGACCCATCAAACTCACGAAGCAGAACTGGCGACAGAAGCAGAAGCACCAGAAGAAGTGGAAGCGGATGAACCGGACAAAGAACCGGATGAAGAACCGGACGACGAAGAGGTAACAGATACTGACCCAGTGGATGAAAACGAGGCCGTAGAGCTTGTCGCAGTGGACGAACCGCTGGAGTAGGTGCTCGAGGTGCTCTCGGTAATGGTGAAGTCATCCGACTGGGCGTAAATGGTTGTTTCCTCGCTTTCCGACTTGACGAGGTTGACGCGGAAGCCGGTTCCCGACTTCCACCCGCCATCAGGAGGGTTCACGGTGTACGAGCCAAGGCTTCCTTGGATATCAGTTGCAAGCACTTCAGAGTACTGGGGGGTCTCGCTCTGCAGTTGCAATGTGCCTGATCAGAAAACGAACATGTGTGGCGGACAGTCGGAGGAACACACCTGGTTGTCGAGAACGATGGTGATGTTGGATGCATCGGTGGAGACCGTCGACCACTTGACGGTGTTGGGGCCGCTGGTATTCCAGCCGCTGCTGTTGGAGGGCTGGGTGACAGTGTAGGCGAAGGCCGAGGCGGCGAAGGTGAGGACGACGGCAGCACGGGCGAAGATCATGGTCGGAGGTCCTTGGAGAGCGTTACTGGTCGTGGGGGATTTAAACGAAGGGCGTGAACGAAAGGCTAAACAACTCTGTTCGGGAGGACGACGAGAGGAAGAGTTTGAAGCGAGTTGGGTTCCTTATAGCGAGCAAACCGGTCCCCCGGCGCCTGTGCGGTCTGCGGCGTCCGGATATCCCACGCACTGCCATTGGACCCCGAGGCACTCTATGTCCAGGTTCGAGCCGCCGGCGCGCTCAAATTCGGTTACGGCGCAGCTTCTGCGCAAATGCAGGCACACCGTTGCTCTCCAACACCCTCCTTTTCGCTTCCAAGTATCTTCCAGAGACTCGTGCTCGCTCGGGAGGGCTTTGAACGTCCCTCGCGCAAGTCGAATAGCGCAGCCCGGCGGGTAGCAACGCGTCGGCGGCTATCTTTCACCGCTCGCCTTGGACTCGACATTTTTTAGTCTGTTTGAGGGTTCTAATGGCCGCTATCGAAACGCCGAGCCTTTGCATGCCTGCCGCGCAAAGCCCAATTTCGTCTGGGAACATGCCTGATCGAGACCCAACCTTACCTGACATTCAGCGCCACAGCGAGTTCGCAATCTCGCGCAACCGACAAGATGTATTCACTAGAGCGGTCCTCGAGGTGCTGTTATAGAGATAAGCGAGGCACTCAGAACACCTGTGCGAAGCCCACGATAGCGAAACAGGACTAGCACGGACGTTCTATGTCAAGCCTGTTGCGGCGAGGCGGTGGCAGCGCGCCCATGATTGATGCCTAGATCACGACAGTTCGGACATCATTATTCGCAATTGATTTGATACGGCAGCACATCACAGTCCGCACAGCCTGCGCACCAAAGCGGCGTGTTATATTTTAGGACACGAGGAGAAGAGTATACATGCAGCTCACAGACTACAACTGCAGTTTCGCCAGCACGGCTTCAGCGTCCATCCACAAGTCCTTCTGACCCCAGATGCCGACGACAGCGGTTATGACCATCCAACACGAGCGTTCGTCCATCCGAGACGGTGCCGGTGCTGGTGACTCGGTAGTCGCCTCCACATCCTGAAGGCGCTTGCTCTCTCCAATCCACCTTATGCACGCCCTTGCCAGGTTGCGTAGTAGGCTCATCTCATCCGCAGAGATGTAGTCTTCTACGCGAGATAGCAGAACGAACATCCATCGCGCGTGTGTCTCACTGATTTCATGCTGGGAATTAGGGTGCTCTAGTTGCAGGTTTATCCAGTACGTAAAGTACATGAGGAGGTGTAGCGCGTAACGCTGAAAAGGGTTTAGCGTAGGAAACGTCTGCGAAGCCAGCACTTACATGATCGATACGCTGCATGAGCGACGGAGTGGGCTCTGGAGGTATAAGCGCCGATGTAGCAGCATTCACAGCCTCTTCACTTCGGTCATGATTGGAAGGCCCTTCTCCAAATTCCGACGGCGCGGGAGTACCGTTAGGCGTAGGCAGCGAGCCTGCAAAGTCGACAGCGCTTGTGCTCGCCAGCTCGACTCCTTCTGCGGTAGTATGCCAACCCTCCTCCTGCGTGGACATCGAGTACGTCTGCTCCATCGAATCGTAGGAAAGCACCGTCTCGTGCTCTTTCTCGAAGCCTCGCATACTCCCGCCATACCTGTCATCTCCACTTGCATACCGCTGCTTCTGCTTGGATTTCTTTGGCTGCTTCGGAGGGTTCCACTCCGACGCTGGTCGGCCATTCAGAAACGCCCACCAGAGATCGCGCTCCTTTTTCTCAGGCACGACTTTCCGAGATGGACCCGCAGGTGGAATCTGTACGTGAATTGTTGGTTGAACGGCATTCTACGTAGCCTTGTGAGAATGACACAATAGAACCAGCATGAATGATCATACGCACCTTGCGGAAGTTACGGAAATGTCTCAAGAATGTCTCCCGCCAGGCCTCAGAGGGTAGTGCAGGATGTGAGCCGCTACGATATGTAGTCTCCACTGCCACCGTCTCGACTTCTTCCTGTATTTCGTACGGGTTCGCTGAGCGCGTGACGCGAGGGAGTAACCTGGCATCCCGTCTGAAGTACAAATGCTACGCGTGAATCATTATTGACGGGTGCTATCAAAGACACGATCTCACCTGACCATGAAAAGATACTGCATCCCGTCCGTCGGCTCGCCACTGAAGTTGTGCGGCAGCTTGGCAACGGGCAAGACTTGCTTACCCAAGGACGGTTCATCCTCATCCGAGTCGGGGGAGTGGTGGTCGGAGAACTTGCGTTTAAAGGACATAGCCAGATGATTTAGCACCGAGAAATCTTCAGATGTGGATGGATGCGTGGACGTAGGACCAGCGGAACTTGAGCTTGAGATCTTGAGAGATATCCGGCTGCACAATAAACCACTCAGTGAGGTGAGGTCGAAAGGAAGGATTGATCTGGTCGGATCACATCACACGCACAGTACGGGCGCTACTCTGTTCGTCTGCGATCGACGAAGCTCGTCGTTTGTGTAACTTGAAAGTCGCGACACCTTCAACCGCTACTCGCAATCGCGAGGCATATCCATCTACTCCTGCTTCACCACATTTATGTCCCTGTCATGGCAGAGGTGGACTTTGAAGATGATATCGACGCTGAGACCCTCCAGGCCCAAGTCGACATGTCCATGGCCTTCACGCAGAATTTGATCTCGTCATGGATGAAATCTAGCACGGCGCAGCTGCCTTCCTCGAGTTCTCGACGCGATGAAGAGAGGGAACTGGAAGAGCATATGCGTCGACCGCCTAGGTGCGTATATATTCATTCTGTGGCGGCGTGGTCTCAGCTGAACGTTTCTGGTAGGTTGGGTGTAGGGGCGACGCCCCCCGAGTCTAGCACCACGTTCAGCAGAGATACTGCGCGCCTTAAGAATAAGCTGACTGGACGTTCGGGGAAGAAACGCCAAAGAGAGGAAGAGAGGGACATTGCAGCCGGTCCTTCAGACGACGAGGATGAGAGCAGGGCCACTGCTATCAAGAAGAAACCTAAGATCGACCCGTTCGCGAGGCCCACGAAAACAAAGAAAGTTCACTCCGCCGACATCGACGTAGCAAAAGCGCAGGATACTGCTGAAGGCGATGCCAAGTTGAAGCACGATACGAATGGACGTGCAGCGGAAAGTTCGAGCACTCCCACGCAGCACAGAGAGGAGCACCATCAGTCAGAACATGCAAGTGCACCTCCATCACCATCCTCTCCGAAGAAGAAGAAAAAGAAGAAAAAGAAGAAACGCAAGTACGATGAAGATGCATCTGTGACGATGCCATCCGATTCTCCTCCCGCTGAGAAAGCGGTCGAGCCTGCGACACCCCGCAAACCGACTGCGGAGATTTCATCAGATACCAAGACATCATCGTTCTTTCAGCCTGCAAAGACATCTACGCCGCCACCATCTAGTGAGTCGTGAATATATATAAATGGATAATCTATCTGACAAGTGGGGCTGTGCCCATCTACCATAGCCTCACCCTTATCACCTAAGAAGACCTCAGAACAGACTGCCCAATACCCTCCAGCTCCGTCAACACCACAGTCTAAACGGAATGACACACTCGCAGTTCCTCTACTCAATCTCCACGGCCCACCGTCGCAGGAAGTGGGTGATCCCTCCTCAAGTTCCCCAAAGAAGAAGCGCAAACGGAAGAATAAAAAGAAGAAAGTAGTGAAGGAACCGCTTGTGGAGCCTGATGTTCCTGAGGAATCTGATTGAGGACATATAGGATTCATGATCCAGGGCTTAGTTGTGGGCACAAGCTTGGTATGGATGCTTCCAGCTGGAGCATCTAGTTCTGAGAGTGGCGTGTCTGACGCCCTCCACCTGACATTTGTTAGTGATATGCAGCGGTACACAGGGGACACATTGGAATACCTATCAAAGTCTACTTAATGTTCTTAACGAAAGTACAGCCACAACGGGAACACAACAGTATACACATGGTTCTTCAACTTCACCTTGGCAAAGCGCGATATAGAACAGCACAGCAAGGAAAGCAATACGAACTTCACATCAACGGCGCGTCGTACACGCCACAGCATTCACTTTCGCCGGTCCCGTTGGCCACTGGAACCGCTAGCTTTGCCAGTATTCCCACTCCCTCCGCTCCGCTGACTATGCTGTGCACGCCGAAGCCGGCTACCCTGCCCAGGCTGGGATTTCTTGCTACGTTGGGAAGAATGGGACCTGGACGCATGCGACCGCTGCCCACTATTGCTCCCTCTCCGATGACTGCGGTGCACTACCATACGCGGTCTCTGCGCAGCGTGCTTCCGAGAAGCAGGGAGGAAGGAGAACCAGTAGAGGAAACCGCGGCTGCCTTCTGAGATGTTCATCCTTTTTTTGTGCGCCCGGATCGCACGGGCATCTCGCATCTCCCGAATGCCACGGCTCCTGACGCGCTCGTTCCCCGTCAGAGTCCCGCGCAGCTTGGTTACCCAGCCGTGGATAGTAGACGCCTCCCGATGGCGACGACTGTGGCCGCTCGGGTCGGGTTGAACGCCAGGCAGTCAATGCTGAGCTAGGCTTGTGTTAAGGGAGGCTACACACTGGCTCCCATGCGATTTCAAACATGCCGGGTTGTGAAGGGGTGTGGACGGTGGACAAGGGAGGGAGATAAGGTGTGCTTGACCGCACGGCCACCTGCAGGCTGCAGCATGGCCTCAGACACAATGCATTGATGCGAGATGCTATAAACGGGAGGAGCGACGCGCCCGCCGTTATGAGAGGATCACCCCACGTGACCGAGACGCATTCCCTGCCTTGCGGTATCAGCGCAAAGATGACGCGATGACGATGGGCGCAGTTTATGGTTGGGAAGCGACCCGACCTACTATGAGCAGAAATGAGCACGCGGCAATGAAAAAAGAAAGTCACGTCGCAGGCCGCAGCGCAGCCCACTCGCCTACCAACCAACGGAACTACTCGATGACTGCTCACCTCATCCACATCTTTTACCCTGGTCACCATCATGGCCCGCACGAATCTGACAGGAGAAAAATGGCAGGAATGTTGGAATGCACCGTGCGAGGACTACAGAGTAAGGGTTATTCAGGGCTGTCCGACGTGGACGGCTGATAACATAGGCATATGATTCCCGGAGCATGAGACAGGGCGCATATCGAGCCGCGTATTCGTCGATGTTACCGCCGAGATCAGGGGGAGACGTCGTCGTTTTTATGGAATTTCATGCATATGACAGTGGGCCGGAGACGAAACGCGACACCGCTTGAACACAACACCATGGAGACGTCCCCGATCAAAAGGCGAAATGCGATGGCCAGATAGCGCAAAGGCGCACTCGCTGTGGCATATGTATGCAAGACAGACGTTGTGCTCGGAGGATGGTGGTCGATGGAGTGAGCAGGGCATAATTGAGGCTCGAGGAGTGGCTGCGTATGAGGCCGCCACTGTAGAGCGTGCCCCCCCGGGGGAGTCTCCTTTGGCCAGTGAAAGTAATGTTGAACCGTTACCTGCCTCAGCCCCGTCGGGAACTGCGTTCCTGACGGACTTACTCACCGACCTGGAGCACATCCTCCAGCGGCCCTTACGCATGGTCACCTTGGCCAGAGACCCAATCATCACGGAGGACCTCAGCGAGGGCATCATCGACATCGTCGATACCCTTGCAAACTCCTTCGCGGACGTCCAGAATAGACTCCTCAACAACAAGGAAGTCATGCGTTCGAACGTCGGCAAAGCGGCATCTGCCATTTTCGCCGCCGTCATCCGACAGTGCGCTGGAGACATGGACCCCCTTGGGGCGTCCACGCATACTAACCCTGCGCCTGAGCACATACAGACCGCCATTGCGAAGGGCATTGAGGCGGGAGTCCGCGCGGCGACCGTCACCATTGATGCGCGCCTATCTGCCATCGAAGCCACGTTGGCCCGATCCCGTCCGCTGCCGGCACCACCGGGTCCCCCCGCGGGTCCGCGCAAACAAACTGCAAAATCCTTCTCCGACGCCGCCCGAGCCGCGCGCGGGGACAACACGTCCGCCGAGCCAGCCACCAAGAAGACGGCCGCCAAGGCGCCGCCACCGCCGCCGCCACCGACTGACAAAACCTACCACACTTTGCTCACCCCAGAGCAGGTGACCCGCATTCGCGCAACCGCCCCTGCCATCTGGTATCAGCGCATCACCCAGCGAATCCAGGAAGCGGAAGCCTGGTCGAAGGTAACCTTTCGTGGCATGCGTCTTGCCCCAAACAAGGTGCTCCTAACCTTCTCTCATGACTCTCCGGACACGCTTATCCGAGATGCTCTGCGGGCCATCCGCGTCATCCTCGATCTTGAGCCCCGTGCTGCCTCTCCGGCCCCAGCGGGCGCGCGCACCGTCGTGCTGCCCCAGGGTTTTCGTCCTGTTCTGCCCACTGTAAAGCTTTTCGTTCCGGCGTGCCCGAGGCGCCACCCTGTGAGCGGCTCTCTGCTCACCGGGGAGGAAATCATGACCGAGCTCCGTACCAATCCCGTTTTCGCGGATGTGTACTTCAACGGCATACCTGCCTTCACCACCTTTGTGGGGCCGGAGGACACGCGGGAACGCGCGCCCCTTATTTTCTCCATTGAAGACCCCAAGAGGGACTTCTGTTCGCGTTTCCTGATTGGCCGTGACAACCGCGGCGAGCCCTCCATGTCCGTTTGGTTCATGGGAGCTCGGCTCCTTGTAAAGCGCTCCAAGGACAAACCTGTTCTGTGCCAATGCACATGCTGCTGGGCTCTGACCCACACCGAGCGCTTCTGCAAGCGTAAACTGCCCCTCTGCCGCTTCTGTGGCAAGGACACCCATACCACTGATCAGCACTGCGCTGCTTGCAGTGCCTGTGCTCTTGAGAATAATCCTGTGACTGTTCCGTGTCCGTCCGCCCACTTCTTCTGCTGCGTCTGCGGAATACATGGCGAGCACCACGCTGCCGACCCCTCTTGCACTGCACGCGCACAGTACCGCATTCCTTCGCTGCCCACTGTCGCTGCATCATGAATCTTACAACCGCACAACTGAATGTAGCCCGTTCGAATCCGCGGCTCCATGGCCTCCTAGCCAATTCTTCGTTTGATTTATATTTTATCCAAGAGCCATGGTGGGGACGCATCGGTTCTGACACCCCGCACGGGGCGGAAGCCGGTGCCCCCGTTTTCGGCACTGTCAATGCGGCTCCCTTCAATCTTGTTACTTTCCATCTCCCTCATTCCAATCCAACGCCCAGGCCGCGCGTCAGCTGCCTGGTACGGAAACACCTTTTTGACTCCTTTCATATCACGCTCCGTTCCGATCTCTCTTCTCACCCGGACCTCCTAGTATTGTCATTCGTGTCTCGTGCGCGACATGGTGACCAATTCTTGGTCGTTAACGTCTACAACGACGCGCCCACGGCTGGCCAGTCGGGCCTCCGGCACCTCCTATCTTCTTCATTCCCACCTGACGTCCCGCTCCTGCTATGTGGGGACTTTAATATGCACCATCCCCTCTGGTCCTGGGAGCATCGCGCCTTCCATACCACTACCAAAGGGGCGGACGACCTGGTCCAGTGGACCGTCGACCATTGCCTGCATTTGCTCACCGAGCCGCATCTCCCCACGCATACCGTCGGAGGAAATCCATCCACGGGTGCTATCATCGACCTGGTATGGGCCTCAAGCAGCCCCCGTTTCGCTCTCTCACAGTATGCGGTCGAGGATTCCCCTTGGGCCTCTGACCATTCACTCATCACGTATACTATTTGCACTGAGGCCACTCCCGCGGAAGTCGACCTTGGCTTCCGCGTGGACCCGTCCCTGCGAGACGAGTGGCTTGACGCCCTCGCCATCGCCCTCCTCACCAACCCTCCTCCCTCTAGCTACTCATCCACCCGTGACCTCGATCAGGGTGCCACGGCAATCTTACGAGCCATCGATGCTGCCAATATCACCACATTTCCGCCACGCACCCGCGCCCACCGGTCATCACAACTATGGTGGAACGACGGCTGCGACTTCGCCAGACGGCGAGTCCAAGACGCCACCAGCGCCACGGAGCGTCGAGACGCAAAGCGCGACCTCCAGCAAGTCATCCGCACGGCACGCAAGGAGTGGGCCATCGCGGCAGCCTCCAAACTACAACACACCAATCCCTGGCGCCTTTTCTCGTGGACAAAGGGGCAACGCACCCCGGCGCCGTCCATTATTCATGCTCGAAATGAGTCGTTCAGCCTGCCTGACGACGTCGGGCAGGTGCTCACAGAGCACTATTTTCCTCCCTCTCCGTCTCTTCCCCCCTTACACCCAATCGTTTCTCCTCCGTACCCGTCACCGCGGACGCCCCACCCCCTCCTCGAGAGTGAGGTGTCCACGGCACTGTCGTCTACTTCCCTCCAGTCAGCTCCAGGCCCCTCCGGGACTTCCTGGAGGCTCGTTCGGTGGATCTGGCAGTCCACTGCACGGCACGCTCTTTATGATTTCCTAGCCGCATCCCTTGCGTTCGGACACCTTCCTTCTTCTCTAAAAGTTGCAGCGCTCGTGTTCATTCCCAAACCGGGTAAGCCAGACTACACAGCACCCAGCGCATACCGTCCCATAGCCCTGCTCGAAACCCTGAGCAAGCTTTTGGAAAAAGTGGTGGCTGCACGCCTTAACTGGCAGATCGGCGCCCTGAACCTCATCCCGGGCACCCAATTTGGGGGCCGATCGCAGCACTCTTGCGTCGATGCGGGCATGCATCTGACTCACACCGTTCGCACCGCTTGGGCGAACGGCCTCTCTGCTTCACTTCTCTGCATGGACATCGAGGGATACTATAATAATATCCGTCACGATGTCCTGCATTCTATACTTCTATCACTTGGGTTCCCCACCAACGAAGTACGGTGGATACTGTCATTCCTTGCTGACCGATCCGTCTCACCCAAACTACAAGGGGAGCTCGGCTCCTCCTATCCCGTCGCCGCTCTCGGCATTCCCCAGGGCTCGCCCCTGTCGCCTGTTTTATCCACCATATATTCTTCCCCCCTCTATCGCGCACTTGATCCCTTTCTCCACCCGCAACAGACTGTTGCAGGTTACGTTGACGATTTCACGATCCTTATCATTTCTCCCTCGCTCCGACAGAATGTCTCACTCATGCGGGACACCCTCCCCACCATCGCTCGCTCTCTGGGCATGCTGGGCCTCACCGTCGGCATGTCCAAAACCGAGCTCATCCACTTCTGTTCCTCGGCCGCTGGCCTACCCTCTAACCCTCCCTTGCTATTTCAGTGGAACGGCCGCCAAGAGCGCCTGGAGCCAAAGCCCTATCTCAGGTGGCTCGGCATCTGGCTTGACCGCACCCTATCGTTCGAGCATCACATTCGCGTCATGGCAGCGCGCGCCCAGTCCCGGGTCATCGCTTTGCACCAACTCGCAAACACCCAGCGAGGCATTTCAGTCGCCCAAGCCCGCCTTCTCTACCTATCTACTGTTTTACCCGTACTCACCTTTGGCAGCCCCATCTGGTACAATCCCCGCGCGCCGCGCGCCCTCGTCTACCCGCTCGAACGCGTCCAAACCATGGCGCTGCGGTGGTTCCTCGGAGCGTGGAAGTCCACTCCGCAGGTCGCCCTGAACCTAATTGCTAGCGTGCTCCCAATGAAGCAGCAGCTGCAGCGCCTATCAAACCTCGCGGCCGTGCGACTACTAACCCTTCCTCGGCACCACCCCGTCGCTGCCTGCATGAGCGACCAGGCCCACCTGTACCCACCCCAGTTCACCCTCCTCAACCCATCCATACGCCATCGCCGCGCGGAGCACACCCCGGTCACTGCGCTGGAGGAAGAAATACCACGCGACTCCATGCGCACAGACCCTTTCCTCCAGCCGCCATGGGAGGCGCCGCACCCATGGGGCACGCGAGTAGTCTCACTTATTCCTGCTCCCACTAAGGAAGCGTCCACTCATCATGTCGAATCTGTTCTTACCCCGCTTCTATCCGCTCACTTTTCTGACCCCACAGCCCTCTGGGTGTTCACCGATGGCTCCCAAACCGACCACCCACTACCGGCCCCCCGTCATCGTGCAGCAGGAGCAGGTGCGTGTATCTACCATCAGTCCGCTTTGAAATTTCAACGAGCATGGGGAATGGGGCATCGAGCTGAGGTCTTCGACGCTGAGCTCTTCGCCATCACGACCATGTCTTCCTATCTTCGAGGCTTCCTTACGGCCTATCCTGACATTTCCAACATTTACATCTGCGCAGACAACCGCGCCGCCTTGTCTCTCCTTTTTTCCCTGCACCCCCACCCGGGGCAGCCCTTCTCATTCACTTTCCGAAAACATCTCACGCCGCTCATGGGCGATTTTCCTAATTTAAAACTTACGCTGGTCTGGGTGCCTGGTCACCGTGGTGTACTGGG